GTTTATTTGGAAAAGGTGACAGGCCCAGCATGGTTTTAAAAACCTGTGGTCTTTTTATTTATTTATTTATTTGGTATTTAATATATCTTTTAATTGAAGTATAGTTTGTATGCAGTATTAATTGGCTTCAAGTGTATATGGTCTTGATGAGTAGCTTAGTAGTGGGTATATGGCTTCTTCTATGAAAGGTAGGAGCTTTGAAAAATGGGCAAATCCTGTCCCTTAGTTGAAGAAATACATTCATTATGTATTTGAACACAGTATCAGGTAATGTAGAGTCACAAGGAATAGAAGGCACAATACAGTCAGACTGGTGTCAGAGCCAGAGGTCTAAGCTAAACCCTCTTCTAATCCAGAAACACATGAATAGCTCACTGCTAAAGCAGTGGCCCCAGACCCCCAGTGGCTTGAGACTTCTAACAAGTTTATTTCTCATTTGTTGTTTAGTCTAATGTAGGCCATGGTGGGAGGGGCTCTACTTTGCAGAGACACTCCGTCACCCGGGATTCTTCCAACGTGTGACCTTCCCATCTTAAAGGCCTCACACTCCCTTGGCATTTAGCTGACGGATGGCCGAGGAAAGAGATTGTGTCCCTCGACCTGGAGGCGACACACATCTCTTCTGCTTACTTTTTATTGTCAGGACCTGGTCCCCATCCAGATGCAAGGACTCTGGGAAGGGAAAGAGACCGTGGGTGCCTCTGAGCACCTGTCGTCTGTCACATGGGAGGGAGTGATGACTGTACACTTGCGCTGAGATACGTGGCCTGGCTTATCCAAGCGAGGAGGTTGGGGACCATTTCCAGGGGTGCCGGAAGGAGAAAAGAAACAGTGGAGAGAACGCAGTTCTCAGCAGGCTGAGGGTCGTGTAAAAGGCTGACAGGGAGTGTGCCCGGGGGCTGGGAAGGGTGGAACCTGAGGAGCACAACCCGTGTCCGCCGTGCTGCAGTGCAGAGCGGGCCAAGACGGCGCTCTGGGGGCACCGGGGAGGCAAAGGAGGAGGGGGCAGAGCCGCCCAGGACAGTCCCTCAGACCACATCCGGAGCATCAGGCACTGTGCCTGGCACAGTGTAGGCGCGCTGAAATGTTACTAGGATGAGGTAAAATCTCCTATCTCTAAAAACAGAACAGAAACCCTTCCCTCAAAACCCCAGGTTCTCCAACGTTAATCCATTTCTCACCCTTCCAGCAAAGTCCTCAGGAGAGTTATCAATACCCTGCCTCTACTGCCGCTCTTTGCATTCGTTCTTGGAACTACTGCAGACAGGCCCCCACCCCGCCCTCCGCGGGACTGTGGAGGTCCCCTCCTTGCCTGCCTGCCCTCGGCGCCCTCCTTTTCCAGCGCTGTCTCGGCCGCGTGCTGCCCCTGCTCCTGGCTCCTCACTTCACTGGCTGCTTTTGCGGGCTCCGCATCCTCTTCCTGGCATTTCCGTGAGTCTCCTGGGGCTCCCACCCAGCTGGCCGGCCTCTCTTCGTCTGCATTCATTTCCGGGGTGATCATCTCCAGCCTGCTGATGTTAAATGCCAACTATTTGATACTGAACCCTGAATTTTCCCCTGACGCTTATTCATCTATCTAAAGAAATTTACTCAGAAATTTCACTTGCTTATCTAATAGGCATTAACATATCCAAAATCCAGACTTAACATATCCAAAACCCAGTTCTTTATTCCAGCGCCCACCACAACCCCTATTAAATCTTCTCCATTGTTCCCTGTTGCATTAAATAGCTACACCATTCATGCAGGTGGTCAGGTCAAAACTATGGTATCATACCCTTCTTGACTGCTTCTTTGACGTCTGATATACAGGCATATCGCAGCTTTATGCCATCAGAATGTTTAGAATCTATCACTTCTCTGTTTAAAACATTTCACTTGCTTCCCACAGTACTTAGCATAAACGGGGATGCGTCACCATCAAGGCCCTGTCCTAGCTGGCTGCTGGTCACCTCTGAGCTCAGCCCCTTGCACCTCACCCAGGTACCCGGAGGGCCTCTCTTCTCAGCGATGAGTAAGCTCTCTGATGCCTCGGGATTCTGCACTTGCTGTTTCCCTGCCTGAGGCATTCTTCCCCGAGATGACCTCATATGTAAAATTCAGAGCACAGACTCTGCAGCCAGACTGCTTAAGTTGGGATTTCCTAGCTGTCTGACCGTGGACACGTTATTTCATCCACCTGTGTGTGCCTCAGTTTCTACATCTGTAAAGTGATAACACCGGGCCCTCCCTCATAGAGTGATGGTGATGAAATGACTTAATGTATGTAGAACACTTAGAATAGCACCTGCCCCACAGTAAGCACTCTGTGTTAACTGATGATTATTGACACTTTGTCAGGTCTCTACTTAAATGGGACCTGCTCAGAGATGATTCAGATAGTGGTGGAATCATCAGAATGAATAATGAATATGCAGCTTCTAGGGGTCTGCTTGGAGGAGGACAGCTCACGGTGAGGTGGAGACGCTGATGGCGCCCCTTCGTTTAGTCACCACCTGTAGGGTCCCCACCCCCATCTCTCTTTCCCTAGTCAGTCTCTCTTGTAGGACGCCCTGCTTGCTGCCCTGCGTCCCGTCCCCAGCTCCAGCTCATGTCAGTTCAGAAGGGGTCTTTGGAGAAACACAGCTGGGGACCTGTATGTCACCTCAGAGCCCCCTCCCTCCCAGCCCTTTGCCTCGGCCTGGGTCTCACAGGCAGTGTGCAGACTTCTCCGTTCAAAACACTAGGGAAGATTTGACTCTGAATGTAATGCCCACCCTTTATTACTCTGTGTGTGTGTGTGTGTGTGTGTGTTTTAAACTTTCCCTTTAGAGAGAAAGGGAACAAAATTAACAAGGGACAGGGCAGAAGAGATTGCCTTTTAACTTGCCATCTGTTTTCATTGTTCATATCAGCAAACTTTCTTTAAAATACCCATACTTCTGTGGTATCCTTTGGGGACAGAAGGGTAGGGAAATACTGTGAGACTTGGCCTTGTTTTGTGGAGAGATAGCCTGGTCAGAAGTGGGTAACGAGGGAGGGAACTCTCTGGGCCCCTAGGAAAGGGAAGGTTCAGAGACAGAGGGAAAGGAAAGGCCTGCAGAACAGGGCTGCGCAGGCCGAGAACAGCCTGCAGGGTCGCCGATCTCACGGATCCTTCTCTTCTAGCAGCCCTGTGCACAGGCTGTAGAGCTCCAGACGGGCTTGGAGCTGGGGATGGGGTGTCCCTACTCACAGTGCCAATTGAAAGGAAGCACTGCAACAGTTGTGTGCCTTCCAGAAGTGTGAGTATGTCACTTGTGTGCCCACTGGGTCACCCTGCACATTGGTGAGTGTGAGGGCTCTTCAGAGGTCTGTTTTGGGCCACCTGCCCCTGATGATGAATGGCAGGTCACCATTCTGGCTGTCTGGAAAGATCCAAATAGCTGCTTTCATGATTTCAGGCTGCCCTCACTCAGCCTTTTATATAATCAGTAAGTTCCTGTATTGCATCAGTTCAGGAGTTCCCTAGGCACCTTTCCCAGCCCCCGTTTTTGTTGTTTTGCTGGGGTGGGTACACAAAGTTTCTGCAAACCTTGATTGGGACATTGAACTCTCATAATGTCTGTGTTCTTTCCCGAGATGACCTCATATGTAAAATTCAGAGCACAGACTCTGCAGCCAGAGTGGAAATTTAGCCTTTGTGATTGTCCTGGGATCATTCAAACACTTGAGGTATGGATAGGGAGGTTTCCTGGCCATTAGGACCCTACATTATCATTCTCTGACTCTGCATGTCTAGAAGTTGAAGACATATAGGCAACCTTTCCAGAAGTGCTAACACTCTTCAAAGCTGTTAAGAGGTCTAGTGTGAATTTATTTATAGCCTGTGCCCTCACTGTAGTAAACTTTCCTCCATGAGTTGACACTTCTTCGTTAGTAAGAAAACAGTTCATCAAATGAGATTTCAGTGCAGAGCAGACTTCAGCTTGGGTTTGCCTGGAGTGATTTCCAAAAAGGCAGTTTCCTTATAGAATTGGATATAATATATGCTTTTGTCTCCACCTTACATATTTGGAATGTAATTTTTAAAACAGACGTGATTTATAGGACAGTTTAGAATTACAGAAGAATTCAGAAGATAATACAGAGTTCCCATACACCCCACCCTCTCCCACCCCCGTACAGAATTGCCCCTGTCGCTACCATCTTCCAGTGGTGTGATTCATTTGTTACAATAAATGTACTGATCCATTACTGTGAACTAAACCCTATACCCTATTCAGATTTCTTTAGTGTTTACTTAATGTCCTTTTCCTGTTGGGGGATCCCATCCAAATGCGTCCCGTTACCAGTCTCCTTAGGCTCCCAGGGGCTGTGATGGCTTCTCAGACCATTTGTTCTTGATGACCTCGGTAGTCCTGGCAGCGTTCAGCAGGTATACTGCAGGTTGCTCCTCTTGGAATCTGTTTTCTCTTGATGAGACCAGGGTTTTGGGATCACACGGTAAGACTGCGGTTAGCATTGTAGGAAACTACCAAACCGTCTTCCAAAGTGGTTGTGCCCTTCTGCGTGCCCGTCAGCAGTGAGTGAGAGTCCTGCACTTTGCACACTTGTCAGCCTTTGCTGTGCTCAGCTTTGGGACCTTTGGCCTCTGACCAGTGTGCAGAGGTGGGGATGCGATTTCTCAGATTGGTCACAGTCTATTATACTTTATTGTATCTTACTGTAGAAAACATTAGCTTTCTCCTGCTATTTCCTTTCCAGTTAGCATGAAGAGAAGAATGTATGTGCTTTTTCCCGTATGAATAACTGCTACAGATGTTTAAATAGCATTTTATTTAATATTACTTTCTCTGCTTTCTGATGACTAACAGCCTGTAAGGTACATGCTATTGGTGTTAAGCTACATTCCATTGATAGTAGTGTCTCACATTTAATTATTTTTGTTTACATTTTTATTCTTTTTCTGTTCTTCAAAGTCATTTTTGCTTTTCTGTGTTTCTGTGTTCATAAAGCTTTGTTTCTGTTACATTGTATAGTTTTGTACCAATGGCTAGAAGCAGATCGTCGTGGCAGGAGCCAGGGTGCCGCAAATACAACTTCAGGTAAAAATACAAATAAAAATAAAGTTGAGGTGTTAGAAATCATTGTTGTAATTCACCCCAAGCCCATCATAATTGTTTGTTTTGTTTGGGCAAGAAATAGGTATTATTTAGTGTTTCTGTTCTCTCTCATCTACATTTTAATTCTTATAAAGACCTCATTTGCTTAAAGCCTGGAAAAAATTATTTACTTGTCTTTTAGCTCTCTTGGCAGATAAGTCCTCTTTTCTTAGGAGGAAAGCCTTATTTGCAGCGTAATTTAGAAGGAGTACTTGGCAATATTACTTGAAATTAAGTCTGTGTAGACTTCTGTGCAGCAGGAATATTAATATTTGCACAGATTTTCCTTGTTCATTCAGGGTAATGTGTTTTAAAGGTGGATTTTAAGTTAAGTAAAGAATACTTATGTATAATTTCATTTCTTGAGAATTCAAATTTTAGTGAGAATTCAAATTTCCCCTGCCAAGTCTGAGCAATAAATTCTAAGTTGAAAGTTTATAAAACATGGGTTCAAAAGGAGAAGAGTAGATAGATTGCTCTTCATCTCTCATCTCCAAAATTTTTTCTTTGGCTCTTACTAGGAGTAATAGCTACTCCCTCTCATATCTAAATCCTTAACAGTGTTACCAGTACTTCTACGTGGCCGGTTCTTCCTCTCACTTCCTTCAGAATAATATCTGCCAAGACAGCTGTATATAGAGCAGTGACTTTCCTGTTGCCCCCCTTTTTGACAGCCTAACAGGAGGTGGTGGTGGTGGTGGTGGTGGTTCTGCTTTTCGCTCGTTAGATACGTGTTTCTGTTTCATGGATTTTTTCGTCTCTTGTGTTTGTGGGTTTCTTTCTCTGGAGGTGGTTTTCCTGCCCGCTCTAATGCTTGCTTCATCGCGCCTCAGGAGGGTGTGGTGTTCCTTAGTCAACAGATTACACTGAAAATGGCACTGTCGACTTCCCTGATTTATCTCCTGTCCCACTAATAACTTGATATATGAATGAAGGTAATGTTACCATTTTAGCCAAACTCAGGCAGGAATTCATTGAAAGGTAAGTGTCGCAAGGAATTATATTATGCGTTACATGCTGTTTCTTCTGCCCCTGCTGTTTTTTATATTTTATTTACATTCGTGGATGATAAAAATAAAAATAAGCATTTCTGATACTTGAGGTGGGTGGAGGAGTTTCTTGATTGCTGTGTTTTATCTGAGGATATCCTGTTCTGTCAGTGTAACAGGGTCAGCACCATGGACCTTTAGAACAAGGAGGGAATTTTTGTTCTGTTTTTTTTTTTTCTCTGACTTAAAGTAAAAACTAACCTTGTTTTTTAAATGAGGAAGTGAATAATCTAAAAATTCTCAGTGTTTGCCTGAGAACTTAGTACCTGCTTAAAGATATCAATTACCCTTCCTGCAGTGAGCCGTCCGGAGCTCTGGCTCTTCAGACATTGACTGTGGGCAGTTTCACATACCGCGATTGAGTTTGTGCTGTTAACATATCCTAGAAGCGTGGTGCAAAAATTGCTAAACTTCCCTTAGGGATGCCTTGGACAGTTTTCTTCTAAAAGTGAAAGCTCCCTCAGAAGATGGAAATATGGAGCAGAAAGATAAAGAGATGAAATGCTTGCCTAAATAAGAGGAATCCAAAGTCTGACCACTAGCCGAGGGCCTGAATTAGAAGCTGCCTGCAGCCCAGCTACTTAAATTGTGTGCCTTTATTCAGAAAAGCTCTCATGTACTTCATATCACAGTCTCCAGTCAGATTTTAAGTGTGACTTTCCCTCCTATGATCTGTTAAGTTTTGCACTAAAAGGTGTTTTAGTATCCATAAATTTTTTTTCGTATTTTTACCAAAAATGGAAACTGAGCCTAACTAGACATCCAATTGTGACTCATAATTTGCTGTCTGATATTTTTACTTGTACAAATACTGGTAAGTGGCATTTATCTGTTGATAAAACAGCTCATGTTTTGCCCTTAATTAGAATTTAAAAAGAAAAAAATGCAGGGAACAGAATGATATTTCAAGCTGATATTCCTTAATCTCAGCTTTCTGACATTGTGAATTTCAGATGCACCCATATTAAAGTATTTTATGGAACTAAGACATTTGGGGGTGACAGGTCTCGTGGGAATTAATTTCGTCAAAGAGATAATTGACAGCTATTATTGAATTTTCTTATATATAATAATCCAAGTACTGTATACTTTCATCTTTCGAGAATGTTGGCAGGAGATGGAATTTGGCTTAGGCTAGCTTATTTCTTTCCTGTAGGTTAGTATATTTAATGTGCTCCCTCTACTAAACTACTAAATCTCACTGGTGGTATTTTTAATGCTGTTAATTCTGTTATGTGGAAAAAGCTGGAGATGCAGGTCACATTTATCAGAGATTTTTGTGGCAACTCAAAATTGTCTCCTTTGAGCACTGCACCATAGGGTCTATTTATGTAAAAATTTTAAGATCAAAATAAATATTTTAGCTTGACTTAAAATGTTTCTTTAGTGAATTAAATGTTCATCTGAACAGATTTTTTTTAAATCACTACATAATGAATTGAGGACAAGAATTAGGTCACAGCAAGGATTATTTTAGCAGGTCTTGGTTTTTAGTATCAGTTGTCTAGCCAGAAGTTTAAAATGCAGATCTCTTATAAACAGTTCATTTTCAGTTGTCCATTGAGAAATTCACAGCGTAGACTGCTAGGGAATCAGATTTCAACATTACCAGTCAGTATATCTACAACATAAAAATAAAAGCATGACATACTTCTGAAGAAAATTCTTTTGTTAACTAATTATTAATTACTTGTAGGTGAAAATTTTGACCAGAGTCCTTTGAGAAGAACATTCAAATCCAAAGTTCTGACCCACTATCCTCAGAATATAGAATGGAACCCTTTCGATCAAGATGCAGTGAACATGGTATGTGTTTTTCTTTTCCTCTTTAGCCTTCTTTTTATTAAGGTAACAACACTGACTATATTTCGTATACCTACATTATTTCATTTAATTTAATCCTTTCAATAAACAATTCTGTGAGATAGATAATATTATCCTTATTCTACAGATGTGGAAATGAAGCTCAGAGAAGTTAAGTAACTTGTCTAGGGTCCCCATAGCAAATAAGGGCACACAGCAGACCCCAAAAGCCCATTTTCTTTTCGTACTAATATGCTTTGTGTTTGTGTTGAGTGATGCGTAGGTGGCCTGATAAACAGGGATATTGCTTGGCCTAGAGGGAAGCCTGATAGAAGGAGCATGATTACAGTTTTCATATTTCAAGGCCTGTTGTTTGATGGGCCTGTAGTTTATCATATTCACAAAGTAAAGAGGGAAAGAAACTTCAGTGCATCATTTAGATGTTTGTAGGAGTTTGTTTATAAGGCATTTGAATTAATGTAATGAATGACCCGGGGTGGTGACAGGTACCTTTAGAGGTTCTTAGAAATACAGTAGGCCATAACTGTCACATTTAGCAAGGGTCCTACTTATTTTGGACATCTCTGAACCCTGTGATTATAAAACTCAGGGGTCCCCAATGCTCACTCAGACGTTAAGTGTGATAGTCACAGAAGTGATTCAAGGTGGACGGAAACACCAATTTGTAGTTCTTTTTAAATATTTTAAAGGTAGAACCAAAAGACCCCATTATAATGTGATACTATAAGGGAAGGAAATTAATATTTAGTCAATGCCTGCTAGGTACTTCATGCATGTTACTTTTCACATACTTGCTGCATGCACCCAGTGAGGATTCTTACTTATGTCTCACAGAGGTTAAGCTCCTTGCCCCACGTTATGCAGGGAGTCTCAGAGATTAAGTACAGATAACTTTTACTCTCTAGCTCACTGTTTCCCCATCTACATCCTGCTTACCCCAAAGAAAAACTGTATAATTTAGTTTTGACCTGGCCCAAGATGATAGGGAACACCCTGAGCCCTTTGTGGTATTTCTGTACCATGTCAGTCTGGGCTTGCTCCAAGGAGGGAGTAGCGTGGCCCTTTGTCTAAGGACAAATGCCTAAGGCACTGGCACTTTGACTTTGGTTCTATACAGACCACAGTTTGTTACTTCTTGAAACCGTACCAAAAAAGGAGACATGCCATTCTGCCGGGAGTGAGTGCCGAGAGGCTTTAGCCGCGGCTTGGTGGGGACGGCACTCCAGATATTAAGGAGAACGCAACGGGTAGTTATATTCATGAGACGTAGAGGGGCACAGACAAGCGTCCGACTGGAATAGCTAGCAAACAGCAGTGACAAAAATAACGTATCCTCTGCTTCTGCTAGCGAATGAGTGGAAAGATACTAAAGAAAAGAATGTTAGTCTAAATGAAGCAATGGAAAAATGGATAAGAATATAAATAGGTATAATACTTCTTCAATTAGTAAGATGTTTAAAAGTATAAATTACTCTGTGAGGACTGAGAAGGGTGCCCAGAAGTAGGTTCTCACTACAATGTGAATTCAGTCATTTGGAACCAGATGCCACGCTTGGTGTGTTCTTTGTTTTATCATTTGATTGGATTGGTAGTGAGAGATCCATGATGGCTTCAGCCTCTGTAGGGAAAACATTCATCTTTAAAGCATTTATCAGCTTCCCTCATCTGTCTTTGGTATTTGCTTTATCCCTGTGCCTCTGAAGTAGTTTTATGGAAGTGGCAAAAGGTTCCCTCTGAAGAATAAACGCCTAGACTTGTGTTTTGATGGTTAAGCACTGCACAGCATTTTGTTTATTGTTGAAAATCTAAAAGGATTTGCTGGTGCTCCTTGAACATCTCTGAGATTAAACTAGTCTGCATTTGGGCCATAGATTTACTGCCCTTAATTTCCTCTTTGATTTATTAGTAAGTGCATTTGTATGAAGCTATAATTTATCCCCACCTAAAGGTAGAAAGCTTTGTTCTTGCCTTTAGCGAGTCCCACTCTGAGGTGTCACCTTCTGTAATACCAGTCATTTCTCCAGCAAGTGACCATGATGCTTTCTTTGAAGAAGGGTCATTCATTTCACAAAAATTAAGTTCCCCAAAGCAATGAACTTTGTTAAGTAAAAAAATTCCTTGTGTATGAGTGTAGTGCAAACATAATAGAAAATGAGGAGAAGTGGCAGGTGAAATTGTTTCTAAATAAAATGCTTTTTATGTCTCGTGGTTGCTGACTGAGTTTTTTATGGAGGAAAGGAAAGGAAGCACCATAAAACAGAGGAGCACAATAATCCTGTACCTTCCACCCAGAACTGATGTGAACATGGACAAATTTGCTTCAGATCTGTGTGTTTCCTCTTAAGCAAAGCCTGGCAAGCAGGGCAGATACGTCCCCCTGCATTCCCGTCAGTTCACCTCTCTAAGGTAATCTGCATATTGGCAGCCATGAGGTTTATGTTATGCTCTAATAGGTAGATCTTATCCTTAAAAATGTAGCAAACCTAGGAAATGTTAGGAAGAAAATACGGTCAACACCTTTTTAAGTAAGTTATATAAAATGTAAAGATTCTATTTTATATATCGGTCCTAAATGAAACAACTGATAAATGATATTTTAATAAGAATTTAAAAATTACTATTAGAAATGTCTTGATAATCTTTAAAGCTCAAAGTTTACCATTTACTATTTGCTCCGATCCCAGAGGAGGGTGGAGTGGAATGATAAGCAAAGAGTAAAAGGTTAGCCGAGAAAAAAACCTGTTGAGAAGCCCATCCTGCAAGATTCAAAGGAAAAGTAGCCGTATGTACTTGCCACAGACTCGGCACGTATTCGAACCTGGAACGGGCGACCCCCAGGTGCGCCGGGCCCTCAGTGGGTGCTCCCTTTTCTTTCCTCCAACCTCCATAACAGCGCTGATCTCATTATTTTGTGATTGTTGGTTTATATGTTTGTGTTTTCTACTAGACCGTGAGCCGCCCAAAGTGAGAGATTATTTTCATATTTATCTTTTGAATTGCCAAGATCTAATGTAATACATTGTATAAAATAAATATTTATTAAAGGAAGAAAGGAGGGATGGACGGAGAGAAGGCAGGAAGAAAGGAAGGAAAAGCTGACCAGCTCTTTGAGTGTTTTCTGAATAATCTGTCTTTTATTTGTGTATAAGAGAGTGCGTATAGGAGTCATAGAACTATAGAAAATGGAAAAAGGGATTTTTGAAATTCTAGCCAAACTGCATGAAGGAGGCCAGATTATTAGGCCATTTGGTCACTCAAAGCAGGAGAGGAGGTGCACAGCACGGTGAGCCCACTTTGGCTAAAGCAATCTGATGGCCAGGGGCAGTCTGTCAACAGTGACAGTTCCAGTTTTTAGTTGTTTATTGTAGAAGGGTGGGGTGGGGAGTAGGTGTGTTAATAAATAGCAATATTAGGGGACTAGAAGAGATTGTTGAATGCCATGGTGAGCAAATCTTGATTATTTATGTCTTTATATTTCTGAAAAAACACGTTTTCTGCCAAATAAACCTGGCAATTCATAAAACAATTCGCACTTCTAAAAAGCTGAAAAAAGCAATCATGTTTTCTAATGTGTGGTTCCCATATTAGAAATATAATTCTTTTTTTTTTTAATTTGTAGGAAGAGATTTTAAGAATTCTTAACATCTGTTATCTGTAGCATTAGAAAGTCATTCTTTGCTTACTCTGAGCACAACTGTTGGCAAGCTTTTCCTGTAAATGTTTGAACGTGTGCTCAAGAAAGCTACAAACCCTTAAAGGGAATATTTGGCAGCTGTTCAAAAACAGCTTGAGTTGTAATTTCTTGGTTTACGATGTCAGGAAAGCCTATCAATTAAATTTAATCTTTGTGTTGACTTTGGAGGTCACTCTGTTTATTTTTCTGTATTTGCATACTCCATGTAGAAAGCAAGCTACAGATTGAATCAAAAGAGGAACTAAATCTGGTCCTGTACCCTGCCCCCACCCCGCTGTTGTTTTTTCCTGTTTTCTTTGCTCATTCATTCATCCATTTGTTCATTCAACAAAAACATACGTGCCGTGCCCTGTGCCAGACAAGCTTGAGGTTCGCCTGGAGCAAGGGTGTCTCCAATTCTCCTTCCTGTGATCTTTACTGAGGGCAGTAAATGTGTCAGATGAGTTTTCCTTCCTATCAGCAGAGGATCTCATCTTGCTATGAGGAAAGCTGCCTTAATGTGCAGACATAAATATGAGAAGATCTTGCCCTGGCCTTCCTTATACAGTTATTCCCAAGACTGGGAGTGAACCATTTTCTCCCCTGGCAAATCCAGATGCTTATGTGTTTTACCTGAGCCTGGATCTTAGTCTACCCAGATATATAGAGTAATTTAATTCTTGTCAACGTATATAGAAGTAATTAAGTGAAGCTACCTTAGTTCCTTCCAAACCTCATGTTCGGTGACGTGAAATGTAAAGACATTTCCAGCAGCATAATAACGCCGAGCTTCGCGGTTTCGCTTTCATCTTCGTCATCAGTCGCCATTTATCATGGCCTCAAATAGTCTGTTGCTCCATGTGTGGTGCTCTCGAGTGTTTAATGTTATTCAGATATAATTAATGCCAGTCTTTGAGTTGTTTGAACCTATAGATAAAATTAGAGAAACTAGTAATGTGGGTCAGTACACAGTGTACACGTGTGCATACAGTGGTGTAAGACTTTCATTGCTTCCCCATTCAGTAAGGACTTTCCAGGGGAGAAGTGACACTTTATTAGCATTTATAGGGAGAACACACTAATGTTTATGGAAAGGTAAAGGACAGCCTCTGTGAGGTAGTATGTATGTAGTGGCTTAGTAAGGGGGTGTTCCCTTTCTATGCTGCCACATAACAAACCATCCCAATACTACTTAAGTGGCTTTAAACATGGGTTGGCAATTTTTTTTCCATGAAGGGTGAGATAATAAATGGTCAAGGCATTGTGGGCCACGCAGTTTCTGTCACAATCACTACTCTGCTGTGGTGGTGCAAAAGCAGCCGTAGACATTACCTGGGTGGAGAGCGTCATGGTGTGCCTACAGAACAGATGACAGGGTGGATTCGGCCTAAGTGCTATAGTTTGTTGACTCTTGAGTTCAAACAACAGAATCATGGGTTTGCCTACATCTCTGCAGCGTGAGTGCGGTTTGGCTGGGTGGCCCCTCTGCTCTGCTGCATGTCGGTTAGGGTGGTTCAGAGGCTCAGGGCTGGAGTCACTGAGGGCCGCTCACCCCCAGGTGTGTCTGCTGAGCTGGGAGCACAGCTGGGCTCCGCGGTCTCTAGGCACTCGCTCCATGTGGTCTCTCTGGCATGGCAGCTTCAGGTTAACCAAACTCCTTATTCGTTGGCTTAGGGCTCCCAGGGTGTGTGCTCAGAGAGATGGAAGTGTACTGCCTTTTTAGACCTAGCCTCAGAAGTCACTCGCTGTCCCTTGTCACTTCCCTTGCCTTTTACTTGACCAGGCCAGAGGTGGGCAAACTGGGGCCTTCAGGCCGGCTCCAGATGCTGCCTGCTTTATACATTCAGTGTCACTGGGACAGAGTTATGCCCCTTCCTTTCTGTGTTGTCATTGTACCATACGTGCAGTTCCGGTGTTGAGTGGCTGTGACAGACTGTGTGACCTGCAGAGCTGGAACTGTTGATTATCTGGCTCTGGGCAGAGCAAGTTTTCGGGTCCCTGGTGTGATGGCACCCTCAGCAGCTTACCCAGGTCCTTGATGGGAGAGTGGGAAGGTTCTGGGGCAGCATATGGAACTAGGAATATTGTTGGAGCCATTTTTAGCAAATACAATGTGCCACAGGGAATGAGCCACGTGGATACATAGGGAAGATCGTCCCAACCAGAGGGAACAGCAGGTTCCGGCCAGCACCTGCTAGGGGTTTTCATGGGAACGATGTGGCCGAACTAAAGGGCAGCGGGAGATGAAAGAGCGGGCCCTGGGGCTGAGCCATTGAGGGCTTTACGGGGCCTCTACGGTAAGGGCTCAGCTTTTAGTGAGTTGAGAGGCCATTGAAGGTTTTGAGAAGAGTGGCAAGATCCAGCCTACGTCATTTAAGGACGACTTCGGTTACATTATGGGGAATAGTTTATGCAGGACAAGGGTAAAAGCATGGAGACTGGTTCTGTGTATTGAACAGTCGTCCAGGCAAGAGAAGAAGATGGCTTAGGCTAGAGTGGTAAGAGGAAAGGTGGGATTTGTTCCTGAGTGTATTTCTCAAGGTAGAACCGCCGCTCTTTGTTAGTGGATTTGGATAATGGGGTGAGAGAGAGGGGTGAGAGGGCGCCCGAGGCCCCGAGACAATGCCTTCACTCCTTTGCTCCTTGGAACCCCTTTGAAAACCACTGCCCCTCAGCGCAGGAAGATCACGTGCTAAGAGGCGCATCTGATCCTGTCCCCCTCCCGCCAAAAGCCTCCAGGCGCTTCCTGTTCTCCTCTCAGACTTCTGACGTGACCCACCAAGGCCCTTCGTGGCCAGGCCTCTGGTTCTCCCACATTCTCCCACCGCCCCAGCCTTGCATCGTGTGCACACACACCCCGCACGTGTTTCATCTCCTCATGCCCTCATTTCTGTCTTCCCGGCTTTTGCACCCGTGTCTGTCTGCTTTCTCCTCATCTCGCTGACACCTGTGCTCATCCCCCGCTGTCCACTGGACTTGCTTCTCTTTTTTCCCAGTAGCTCGCTCTTTTCTAATTGACGTCCTGCTACGTTTTCCCCATGGCAGCCTGTATTTACCCTGTTACTGCACTTCCCATACTTCGTAGCGAATGATTTCCTATCCAGCTGTCATCCTTCCTAAACCAGAAACACCATAGGAGCAGGGAGTGCTGTCTCTGTCACCGTTGGGCCACCACCACCTGGCCTTGCTCGTAAAAGCACTGCCTAAGAAGGGTTTGTTGACAGTTTGAAAGAAGGGCCTGTAACTTTTAAGACCAATTGCATTTACTTGGTAATGTAGGCATTTGGGAGAATGTCTAAATTTTATACCAGATCAATTTTTAAATCTGGGAAAAGCCCATAATAATGCATGGTACATTTATTTCTGTGCAAAAAGCACATTACAGTACAGCAGTAGAAAGGACTATATAAAAATTAATAATGATCATTATGTTAGGATGGTTGAATTATAAGGTCTGTTCTCTTTAGTATATTTAAATTTTTTCTGTGATTTGTTTGACTTCTTTCATTTAAAATGTTTTCAAGATTCAATCCTACCTTTTAGTATATTTTTAGTTTCTTAAATAGGGCATCTCTAACGCCCCAGGTAATTTTGTTCCCAAACTCATCTCCATCCTAGGGAGTGCCCAAGACCTAAAATACAATGTCTACGGGAAGTCACCTAAAAAAGCATCTTCCCCCCTTCTGCTTCAGTAAATAAAAATCATTCTGTTTTCAAAGTTTCGTTTGCTAGGATGAAGGATCACATTGTTCAAAATTTTGAAAATGGTACTGTTGGTTTTATTATTCTGTGTTTATAGCTTTTTTCCCATTTACCAGGTGAGCCTTCACCTATTTCCCAATTTCTCTGAAACATCATTAGTCCAAAGATAGTGCTTAAATATGTCAGTTCCTTTGCATATTATGTCTTCAAGTCATTGATTAATAGATGTTGTAGGCAAAGAGACTGAGGCTTGGGAAGTTACACAACTTGCTGGAGGTCATAGGCTTGAAAAGAGTTTACTGGGACTTGCAAAAGGCCTTCTTGCTCTTAGTAAAGCCTCCTGCATGTTATAACACATAGGCCGTAACATAGTAGTATCATCCTTGTATAAACATTCCTCTGAAGAATAGTTTTATCTTCATGTAAATGAGGAACTTAAAGTGTATCTGCTTCAGGCTACTACTGATAGTGTTAAATCGGTGTCCTTCTGAATCGTATTGCACTAACAACGAACTTCTTTTCTGGCTTGAAGTTACCTGTTGGTTACGTTTTGATGCTGTTCCCCCTTCCTCCGCAGTTGTGCATGCCTAAAGGGCTATCCTTCAGAACACAGACTGACAGCAGAGAGCCTCAGTTCCACTCATTTATAATCACCCGGGAAGATGGTTCTCGCACGTACGGCTTTGTTCTCACTTTCTATGAAGAGGTAACAAGTAAGCAGATCTGCACAGCGATGCAGACACTCTACCAGATGCACAACGCAGAGCGCTACAGCAACGCGTGTGCCTCGTCGTCCTGCAGCATGGACTCGCTGGCCAGCAGTATTGATGAGGGAGATGCCACTTCCCTTTTGAAACTCCAGCGATACAACTCCTACGACATCAACCGAGACACCCTGTATGTCTCAAAAAGTATATGCTTGATCACACCACTGCCCTTCATGCAGGCCTGCAAGAAATTCCTCACCCAGCTGTACCAGGCAGTCAGCTCACAGCAGCCGCCACCCTTGCCACTTGAGAGCTACATCCACAACATTCTCTACGAGGTGCCCCTCCCGCCCCCAGGGAGGTCACTGAAATTCTACGGCGTTTATGAGCCCGTCATCTGCCAGCGGCCTGGGCCCAATGAGCTCCCCCTCTCCGATTACCCTCTCCGAGAGGCCTTCGAGCTCCTGGGACTGGAGAACCTGGTGCAGGTGTTCACCTGCGTCCTCTTAGAGATGCAGATCCTTCTCTACTCACAGGGTAGGTCTTCTGGGATTTTAAGTCTCCCCAGACGGGGACTTGTGCTCCTCCCAATGGCTGTATTTCCATGGGGTCTGTTTTTAGCACCAAATGTAATGGTCAGAAGTCTCTTCCTTTTCGTGTAAAAGGAGCTGTTGTAGGTGGGCTCAGAGGCTGAGGTGTTACTTCTTTCTGAGGTGGCAGGGACTGCAGAGAAAAAGAGGAAGGGATACAAAAGCATTAATTTGGCTGAGTTGAGTGTATTTATTTTTTTAATGGAAATAACCCCCGTTTTCTTGATAATACCTAAAACGTATTTCTTTTCATAATGAAAGTGAGAAAATCCTGTTAGTACTAGGAACGTGGAGACTTCTCTCTTTTTTTTTTTGTTTTTACAGATTAGTCAAGGTTGATGTCAAAACTCAGCTGACATTGGCAAAGGATAAACAAACTTGCTCCCTAAGGCGGCAGCTTTGCCTGGGGGCATTTCAAGAGCCTTAATGTGCAGACATAAATATGAGAAGATCTTGCCCTGGCCTTCCTTATACAGTTATTCCCAAGACTGGGAGTGAACCATTTTCTCCCCTGGCAAATCCAGATGCTTATGTGTTTTACCTGAGCCTGGATCTTAGTCTACCCAGATATATAGAGTAATTTAATTCTTGTCAACGTATATAGAAGTAATTAAGTGAAGCTACCTTAGTTCCTTCCAAACCTCATGTTCGGTGACGTGAAATGTAAAGACATTTCCAGCAGCATAATAACGCCGAGCTTCGCGGTTTCGCTTTCATCTTCGTCATCAGTCGCCATTTATCATGGCCTCAAATAGTCTGTTGCTCCATGTGTGGTGCTCTCGAGTGTTTAATGTTATTCAGATATAATTAATGCCAGTCTTTGAGTTGTTTGAACCTATAGATAAAATTAGAGAAACTAGTAATGTGGGTCAGTACACAGTGTACACGTGTGCATACAGTGGTGTAAGACTTTCATTGCTTCCCCATTCAGTAAGGACTTTCCAGGGGAGAAGTGACACTTTATTAGCATTTATAGGGAGAACACACTAATGTTTATGGAAAGGTAAAGGACAGCCTCTGTGAGGTAGTATGTATGTAGTGGCTTAGTAAGGGGGTGTTCCCTTTCTATGCTGCCACATAACAAACCATCCCAATACTACTTAAGTGGCTTTAAACATGGGTTGGCAATTTTTTTTCCATGAAGGGTGAGATAATAAATGGTCAAGGCATTGTGGGCCACGCAGTTTCTGTCACAATCACTACTCTGCTGTGGTGGTGCAAAAGCAGCCGTAGACATTACCTGGGTGGAGAGCGTCATGGTGTGCCTACAGAACAGATGACAGGGTGGATTCGGCCTAAGTGCTATAGTTTGTTGACTCTTGAGTTCAAACAACAGAATCATGGGTTTGCCTACATCTCTGCAGCGTGAGTGCGGTTTGGCTGGGTGGCCCCTCTGCTCTGCTGCATGTCGGTTAGGGTGGTTCAGAGGCTCAGGGCTGGAGTCACTGAGGGCCGCTCACCCCCAGGTGTGTCTGCTGAGCTGGGAGCACAGCTGGGCTCCGCGGTCTCTAGGCACTCGCTCCATGTGGTCTCTCTGGCATGGCAGCTTCAGGTTAACCAAACTCCTTATTCGTTGGCTTAGGGCTCCCAGGGTGTGTGCTCAGAGAGATGGAAGTGTACTGCCTTTTTAGACCTAGCCTCAGAAGTCACTCGCTGTCCCTTGTCACTTCCCTTGCCTTTTACTTGACCAGGCCAGAGGTGGGCAAACTGGGGCCTTCAGGCCGGCTCCAGATGCTGCCTGCTTTATACATTCAGTGTCACTGGGACAGAGTTATGCCCCTTCCTTTCTGTGTTGTCATTGTACCATACGTGCAGTTCCGGTGTTGAGTGGCTGTGACAGACTGTGTGACCTGCAGAGCTGGAACTGTTGATTATCTGGCTCTGGGCAGAGCAAGTTTTCGGGTCCCTGGTGTGATGGCACCCTCAGCAGCTTACCCAGGTCCTTGATGGGAGAGTGGGAAGGTTCTGGGGCAGCATATGGAACTAGGAATATTGTTGGAGCCATTTTTAGCAAATACAATGTGCCACAGGGAATGAGCCACGTGGATACATAGGGAAGATCGTCCCAACCAGAGGGAACAGCAGGTTCCGGCCAGCACCTGCTAGGGGTTTTCATGGGAACGATGTGGCCGAACTAAAGGGCAGCGGGAGATGAAAGAGCGGGCCCTGGGGCTGAGCCATTGAGGGCTTTACGGGGCCTCTACGGTAAGGGCTCAGCTTTTAGTGAGTTGAGAGGCCATTGAAGGTTTTGAGAAGAGTGGCAAGATCCAGCCTACGTCATTTAAGGACGACTTCGGTTACATTATGGGGAATAGTTTATGCAGGACAAGGGTAAAAGCATGGAGACTGGTTCTGTGTATTGAACAGTCGTCCAGGCAAGAGAAGAAGATGGCTTAGGCTAGAGTGGTAAGAGGAAAGGTGGGATTTGTTCCTGAGTGTATTTCTCAAGGTAGAACCGCCGCTCTTTGTTAGTGGATTTGGATAATGGGGTGAGAGAGAGGGGTGAGAGGGCGCCCGAGGCCCCGAGACAATGCCTTCACTCCTTTGCTCCTTGGAACCCCTTTGAAAACCACTGCCCCTCAGCGCAGGAAGATCACGTGCTAAGAGGCGCATCTGATCCTGTCCCCCTCCCGCCAAAAGCCTCCAGGCGCTTCCTGTTCTCCTCTCAGACTTCTGACGTGACCCACCAAGGCCCTTCGTGGCCAGGCCTCTGGTTCTCCCACATTCTCCCACCGCCCCAGCCTTGCATCGTGTGCACACACACCCCGCACGTGTTTCATCTCCTCATGCCCTCATTTCTGTCTTCCCGGCTTTTGCACCCGTGTCTGTCTGCTTTCTCCTCATCTCGCTGACACCTGTGCTCATCCCCCGCTGTCCACTGGACTTGCTTCTCTTTTTTCCCAGTAGCTCGCTCTTTTCTAATTGACGTCCTGCTACGTTTTCCCCATGGCAGCCTGTATTTACCCTGTTACTGCACTTCCCATACTTCGTAGCGAATGATTTCCTATCCAGCTGTCATCCTTCCTAAACCAGAAACACCATAGGAGCAGGGAGTGCTGTCTCTGTCACCGTTGGGCCACCACCACCTGGCCTTGCTCGTAAAAGCACTGCCTAAGAAGGGTTTGTTGACAGTTTGAAAGAAGGGCCTGTAACTTTTAAGACCAATTGCATTTACTTGGTAATGTAGGCATTTGGGAGAATGTCTAAATTTTATACCAGATCAATTTTTAAATCTGGGAAAAGCCCATAATAATGCATGGTACATTTATTTCTGTGCAAAAAGCACATTACAGTACAGCAGTAGAAAGGACTATATAAAAATTAATAATGATCATTATGTTAGGATGGTTGAATTATAAGGTCTGTTCTCTTTAGTATATTTAAATTTTTTCTGTGATTTGTTTGACTTCTTTCATTTAAAATGTTTTCAAGATTCAATCCTACCTTTTAGTATATTTTTAGTTTCTTAAATAGGGCATCTCTAACGCCCCAGGTAATTTTGTTCCCAAACTCATCTCCATCCTAGGGAGTGCCCAAGACCTAAAATACAATGTCTACGGGAAGTCACCTAAAAAAGCATCTTCCCCCCTTCTGCTTCAGTAAATAAAAATCATTCTGTTTTCAAAGTTTCGTTTGCTAGGATGAAGGATCACATTGTTCAAAATTTTGAAAATGGTACTGTTGGTTTTATTATTCTGTGTTTATAGCTTTTTTCCCATTTACCAGGTGAGCCTTCACCTATTTCCCAATTTCTCTGAAACATCATTAGTCCAAAGATAGTGCTTAAATATGTCAGTTCCTTTGCATATTATGTCTTCAAGTCATTGATTAATAGATGTTGTAGGCAAAGAGACTGAGGCTTGGGAAGTTACACAACTTGCTGGAGGTCATAGGCTTGAAAAGAGTTTACTGGGACTTGCAAAAGGCCTTCTTGCTCTTAGTAAAGCCTCCTGCATGTTATAACACATAGGCCGTAACATAGTAGTATCATCCTTGTATAAACATTCCTCTGAAGAATAGTTTTATCTTCATGTAAATGAGGAACTTAAAGTGTATCTGCTTCAGGCTACTACTGATAGTGTTAAATCGGTGTCCTTCTGAATCGTATTGCACTAACAACGAACTTCTTTTCTGGCTTGAAGTTACCTGTTGGTTACGTTTTGATGCTGTTCCCCCTTCCTCCGCAGTTGTGCATGCCTAAAGGGCTATCCTTCAGAACACAGACTGACAGCAGAGAGCCTCAGTTCCACTCATTTATAATCACCCGGGAAGATGGTTCTCGCACGTACGGCTTTGTTCTCACTTTCTATGAAGAGGTAACAAGTAAGCAGATCTGCACAGCGATGCAGACACTCTACCAGATGCACAACGCAGAGCGCTACAGCAACGCGTGTGCCTCGTCGTCCTGCAGCATGGACTCGCTGGCCAGCAGTATTGATGAGGGAGATGCCACTTCCCTTTTGAAACTCCAGCGATACAACTCCTACGACATCAACCGAGACACCCTGTATGTCTCAAAAAGTATATGCTTGATCACACCACTGCCCTTCATGCAGGCCTGCAAGAAATTCCTCACCCAGCTGTACCAGGCAGTCAGCTCACAGCAGCCGCCACCCTTGCCACTTGAGAGCTACATCCACAACATTCTCTACGAGGTGCCCCTCCCGCCCCCAGGGAGGTCACTGAAATTCTACGGCGTTTATGAGCCCGTCATCTGCCAGCGGCCTGGGCCCAATGAGCTCCCCCTCTCCGATTACCCTCTCCGAGAGGCCTTCGAGCTCCTGGGACTGGAGAACCTGGTGCAGGTGTTCACCTGCGTCCTCTTAGAGATGCAGATCCTTCTCTACTCACAGGGTAGGTCTTCTGGGATTTTAAGTCTCCCCAGACGGGGACTTGTGCTCCTCCCAATGGCTGTATTTCCATGGGGTCTGTTTTTAGCACCAAATGTAATGGTCAGAAGTCTCTTCCTTTTCGTGTAAAAGGAGCTGTTGTAGGTGGGCTCAGAGGCTGAGGTGTTACTTCTTTCTGAGGTGGCAGGGACTGCAGAGAAAAAGAGGAAGGGATACAAAAGCATTAATTTGGCTGAGTTGAGTGTATTTATTTTTTTAATGGAAATAACCCCCGTTTTCTTGATAATACCTAAAACGTATTTCTTTTCATAATGAAAGTGAGAAAATCCTGTTAGTACTAGGAACGTGGAGACTTCTCTCTTTTTTTTTTTGTTTTTACAGATTAGTCAAGGTTGATGTCAAAACTCAGCTGACATTGGCAAAGGATAAACAAACTTGCTCCCTAAGGCGGCAGCTTTGCCTGGGGGCATTTCAAGTGGCGGGAGGAGGGATGAGCATTAAGTAGTCCTGACTGTGCTGGGTCTGGAAGTTCCAGCCCAGTTATGTGGGGTCACCTTGTTTTGTTTTGTTTTAATCCCAAGAGGAAGTTACCTTCCTGATGGCTTTTCATTCAGAGTTCTCCCAACACATGCTTAAAAATCTCGGGAAATCGGGGCTTTATTTTCCCCATGCATTTATGATGACTAATGTTGAGCCTTCGCTGGAGTTGAGGTTCCAACCTGAACGTCAATTTGCCGGGGAAATAGAAACGCCATGTCTGAATGGATAGTGAATTGAAGGGAAATAGAAAATGGTTCCTGTGCAATGGTGGGTCCTCTGAAAACAGGGCACAGATATTTGGGCTAGCATTTTGCTAACTTGCACTGTCTAGCAGAATTGTAGTGCAATCTCCTGACTGCTGCTGTCAAACCTATTTTACCAGTTTTTTTTTTCTTGTCTATTTAAAAATATGTGAGGCTGAGCCAAGTAGGCTATATTTGTACTTCCCATCTTGTGTGTATGTTGACACTATTTATGTGTTGACAGCCTTTCACGAGGTTGTATTTTCTTCAGTTTATCCTACATAACGTTCTTTGATAACGTGTTCCAGTATCTTAATTTTCCTTCTCAGGAAGTTCTTTAAGGGCCAGTCTTCCTTCTTCCCTTCCCTCTTGCCCTCGCTTTCCTAGGGCTTCATTTCCTGCAGATTACCCTTTTGTGTCTGAAAGAGTTAGCTTAAGTAATTCTCTCTTCCTTTCTATTTCTACCTTTCTTGCTTTTTTGCCTGAAGCAGGTTGGGGTTGGAGAGCTGCTAGAAGGGGTAGGAGCTTGGAGCGCAATACCCTCAGGTGTTCTAGCCTATCAGAAAGAACAATTGTAGATCCTGGATGTACCAGGGATCTTCAAGGCCATTACTTTAGTTTGGGCCGAGAGAAGCAGTTTGGGCCAAAAAGAATATTGTTTTTTTTTTGGTTGTTTTGTTTTTGTTTTATTTTGTTATCATTAATCTACAATTACTTGGAGAACATTATGTTTACTAGGCACCCCCCTTCACCAAGTAAGAATATTGGTTTTTGAAGTTATAAGCATCCTGGGTTCAAATCTCTGCTCGGTCACTTACTAACTGTAACCACGGGCGAGTTCATCGTCTTCCTGAGTATCAGTTACCCCATCTTGATGGCAGTAACAGGCGTTTTTCCTTCCTCCCTCTCACTGATTAATTGTGAAGGTTAAATAAGAAAACCTATACAGACCACATAGGTAGCTGGCACTGACTAAATGATAATGTGATTTAATTATTACTGGTTTTGTTAGTCCTACATAAACCTCTGTAAATTAGGCATATCTTAAATTGTGAGGGTCCAACCTAGGACTGACTGCCTTTGAAGGGTAATTTACGTTAAGTGGCCCGAAGCATTTGTGTCAGGGTTGCAGACCTAATGAATGTTCTCATACACTGAATGTCAATGCTTTTTTTAGAAGACAGAAACAAAACGAAACCTCCATTGTCACACTTCCTGTTTTAAATAGCCCTAGACTCTGGCTGCCTGTGCTCTGTCCTGAGCCCCCCTCTTTCTGCTCTGTTTGGTTAGCTTATCCCAGCTGGTGTATGAGGTCCATTTAAAGTTACAGCGACTAATAAGCTACCTGTTTATTTCAGTTTCAAATGAAGAATGAGTTTTTAGGAGCATGTTTTTGTACTCAAAAGAGTGTTTCTTCTTTTTTTGCTAACTTGGTCTTAATGCTGTCCACCAAGTATTAGTTAGCATTTTAAGCATTTGATTCTTGTGTTAGCTAAATCCCATAAATCTTATGATCTGATGCTTTCATCATTTAAGAATTTTTGAATTTCCATTGATTTTTTACTATTTGCCTTGCCTTTAGCCTACTTTTTTGCTTTCTTTTGAAGTAATCAAAATGTTTTTTCTTGTTTCGGTTTTTTCCATTTAGTGTAGAAGTTATATTCTTAATGGTAAATTTTGGAATTTCAACGTGAACACTTAGTCTTAGGTTAATCAGAATCGTTAAAATACAAGTACTGTGGCTTCCTTGCTCAGAATTTTGATAGTCCTTCAAATTAGATATTTTTTTTATATACTTGGTTTTGCTTGAATTTACCCACTGTTAAATAAGAAAAATTCAACTCAGTAAAATTTTAAAGATCCGATTGGCTTTATTAACCACTTCATAAATTGGGCAGCATGCCATCTGGCCGCAGATGGGAGCTGCAAAGGGCTACTTTAGAAAGGGAAAGGGTTTAAGGCAGGACAGGGGAGTCATAAACAGAAAAAATGATCATCTTGAGTGAGGTCACCTTCCTTTGGGATCAAACAGATCTTGTTAGGTAGATTTCCATCCTTTTTTAGGGATGAGGAGGGCCCCTGTTTCAGATTCTCTTGTTAATGCTGACCAGAAAATCTCTGAATGGTTAAGGTACATTTCTGGGGAAGATTGAAACTGTAAGTAGGTTAGGTATTAGGCCCTGCTTTGGTGAGGAAGCCTGGCACAAGCGACTCCATTTGGGGCCTGTGGTTTTCTTTCTAACACCACAATTGCCATTTTAAAAAATTCATGTTGCATTTCTTAGATATTTCTTTCTTGTAGGGTCAATCTCTTTCCTAAAGTGTATCCTTAGGTGTTCCTTAAGTGAGATGGCATTCTCTTTTAGATCTGTTCAGCTGAAATTATTTTTATTTTGTTCTTGTTTTTAAAAGATGGTTTCATTGGATATTAAATTCTAGGTAAAAGTTTCGCATATAGTCTATGATTCTGTAACATCTTACTATGTTGACAGAGAGTAATTGCACTAGAGGGGATAAGGATTTATTAATATGGATAACTGTTGAACTGCTGTGTTGTATATTTGAAACCAACATAAGATTGTATATCAGTGATACTTTAATTTTAGAAAAAGTTTCTCTCTCTTTCTCTTCCAACACTTTGAAAATAATCTATCTTCTAGTTTCCAGTGTAGCCTTTGAGAAGCCATCTGTCACAATCATTCTAATTGTCATTTCTTGGCCAGAAATCTATCTTTTCACCCTGGTTATATATAAGATTTTCTGTTTTCCTTTGGTGTACTGTATTTTGACTGTGATTTTTCTAGATGAGGGTTTCTTTACTTGTTCTGCTTGTGATTCATTGTGTTTCCTGAAATCTAGGGTTAATGTCTTTCAACAGTTCTGGAAAATTCTCAGATGTCTTTCCAAATATTACTTCCATCCATCATTTTTCCTTTTTATCCTCCTGAAACTCTAATGAAACAGTTAATCTGTCTCACTTGATCTTTGATACCTCTCAGCCTTTTTCTGTTTCTTTGTCTTTCTGTTGCATTCTGTGATTTCTCCGTATCTGACTCCCAGATTATTAATTGTCTTTTTATGTGTGTTTAGTCTGTATTAACCCTTCCTTTGACATTTACATTCATTGGTCATATAAACAGTCTTATTCCTTAATTCTTCCTTTAATTTCCATAAGCATATTAAACATACAAATTTTATATTATTTATCGGATATATTCCTTATCTGATGGGTTGAGGATTGAGGGTTTGTTCCTCTAGGAATTATCTATATTTTCTTTCACTAGGTATCTGAGTTCACTGGCAACACAGGTCTGCTTTAAACTGAAAGTCTCCCCTTAGTGTTTGTTTATTAGGGCCATACAAATAGCATGAGTTTCAGTACCAAACATACCCCAAAGCTGGCCAGTAGGTAGACATGCTCAGGGGCTTTCCCCCTGCCTTCCAGAGCTGGGGCCAGGACAAACAACTTCCCTTGGCAGTACAGGACTTTCTGTCATTATTGTTCTGTTTTTGTTTCTCCTTTCTAGATCTCTCTTCCCATAGGTTTCTATCCTTTTTGTGTCCTACAGTCTGAATCTGAGCCTTTCTTGGATTTTGTCCCCCAGCGTGCACAGAAGTAACGGTCCTGAAGATGGCAGACCCTTCAGCTTTGCCCACTGGATTCCTGCTTTTACTCTGTTCCTGGCTCCCAGTGACTCCCTCCCCTCTTTTTTTTTTTTTTCAAACAAATACATATATTCATGTATTGGGTTGTTTTTAAATTATTTTATTTAGCATTTTTAGTTTAGTTTGGGAGCTTTAGTCCTCCATACTGCCATAAATAGACATGTTTAAAAAATGTCATGGAACTAGAAATTAAAATGAACAGATTGATTTTGGCAGTTATTATAGGAAATAGTAACTGCTAGGCACAAGTTAACTTAATAGTTTAAAAAATAATATAAAATAGGAAGATAATCCAGATGTTTTCTCTTTTACCAACAATTACCAATTACATTTAACCTATTTTAAATAATGTAAGTATATAGTTATATACATAGATACTTTGTTTTTGTCTTAACCTCTGTTGAAGCAAAAAGAGATACTACTTTTTACAGGCACTCATGGTGCCAGAATTATATTCTAATGAATGTATATTTTTATTTTAAATAATTTGATTTTAAAATGCCTCATATCAGTCCATTGCCAATGATTTTTGGAGGCTCTACAGAGTGTCGTGGCTAACTGCTGTCATTAATGTACTTTTTGCACTTGAAATTATGTATTAAATAAGACCTTTTAAATGAAAACAATTCTCAATGAATACTTAGGTCATTACACATTTTGCAAACCCTGTTTGATTTTGCAACCCGAACATGTGTATACCTTCTTAAGAAGTCATCTAATGTCAAATTAAAAATCCTTTTCAACTTAAATTCAAATTACTCATTATCACAGATTATTCATCTTTTGTGGATTCTGTTGCCCACAGATTATCTCTGTATAGATTAGGTTTAACAATTTTTTTAATTGTGGTAAAAAATAGATATTAAATATGTCATCTTAATTATTCCTTAGTGAACAGTTCTGTAGTGTTAACTATATTCACACTGGTGTCCAGCCAATCTCCAGAATGCTTTCATCTTGTAAAATTGAAACTCTATACCCATTAGACAACTCCCCGTCCCCCCATCCTCCGTTCTGGCAGCCAGTATTCTACTTTGTTTTTTTGAATTGACTGCTTTAGTTACCTCATATAAGTAGAATCACACGCTATTTATCTTTTTGTTACTGGCTTATTTCACTTAGCATAGTGTCCTCAAGGTTCATCCATGTTGTAGCATGTGACCAGATTTCCTCCTTTTTAAGGCTGTATAACATTCCATTGTATGTACAGTTGACCCTTGAACAATGAAAGTGTTAGGGGTGTTGACCCCCTGTGCAGTTGGAAACCCATGTATAACTTTTGACTCCCCCAAAGCTTAACTACTGGAAGGCTTAATTATAATATAAACCATCAATTAACACATATTCTGTATATGTTATATATACATTATATATGTATTCTTAAAGTAAGCTAGAGAAAAGAAAATGGTTTTTCAAGTTGTTGCACATTGCCAAAAAATTTTACAGTACTTTTTAAAAAATCCATGTATAAGTAGACTCATGCAGTTCAAACTCACGTTGTTCAGCCGTCCACTTTATATACCACATTTTGTTTATCCATTCATCCATTGGTGGACACGTGTGTTACTTCCACTTAGCTACTGTGAATAATGCTGCTATACTCATGTGCAAATATTGTTGCAAGATTCTGCCTTCATTTCTTTTGGATGTATACCCAGAAGTGGAATCTCAGCAGGTTTTTAATACCTAGTTACTTCCTGCTACTGCCAGGCACATGTTGGTTTCCTGTGTTAATGATGCAGAATACGCTTTTAATAGCTCTAGTATATGCCATTATGTAACTGGCCATCATTCTTTTAACCAAATCTTTCGTGTTAGGTATTTAGGTTAGATAAATAGGTTACTGTTAGAAATCACCTTATATCTAGAATTGGAATTGCTGGGTCAATATGGCCTGTATGTTTCTAAGCTATTGTTGGATATTGCCAAATAGAAAGAAAGCTCTAGCAATTTGTGAGAGCCCCCTTTCCTTCGCACCTTTGCTGTGATTTTCGTTTTTAATCTTTGTCAATCTGATAAAGTTTTTTTATCAAGGAAAATGCAGCTCATTTTTCACCCATCACTGAGGGCAGATTTTTGTTGATTTGCATTTGTATTCTGCCTCATGTGATGCCTAAGTGAGCCAAGTTAGGCAGTTTTTGCTGCTGTTACAATGAAGTTTATTATGAAAACAGGTTGGTGTGGGACATGGGGACAGACAAGTGCATTTGGTTGGGTGGCTTAAGTGAAGGGTAGCTTCTTTACACTGATGCCATACTTGCTGAAGGCCAGAGTCAAGTTCTGTATTGTTAGAGTACCTAACTATCCTCACTTTTGCTTCAGGAGGTGCCAGAGGCTATGCCCTTCATTTAGCAGTACTATTGGGCATCACTGGGAATATCTGGGATGAACTTCTGGAGCCAGGGAATGAGCTGAATTATGCCTGGGCCTGAGGCCTCCAAGCCTGCATGGTTCGGGGAGGAACCAGCCACTGCACCCAGCCTCATGGGTGTGGTGTGTGATCCTGCAGCCACGTCGGGATGTTCCCTGGAGGCCTTCTGGACACCACTGGCTTCACTCCTCTGTTGGTGGGGCTTTGCTGTGTGTAAACCCCACTAGGCGTGGCCTCCTCCTGGGGCGCTGCGCCACCAGCCAACACTGGAGTTGCCCTGGGCCACTGAGCTGGCTCCCTGGCCTGCACCACGTGCGTTCCATGCCCCCTACTCAGCTCTAGCCCCAGACCCTGAGGGCTGTCCTTGTTCTTCACAATGATGCTGGTTAGACAAGGGCCCAAGTGGAGGAGGCAGGGCCATCTCAGAGTCTGCACGTAAGCCCCTGCCAGGCAAATTTTTGATGGTATGTTTTATTGTGTAACATGGTCAAGCATAATTTTTTTAATGTCCAAATCATTTTATTGCATTTTGCATGCCTCAGATGTTAACATATTAATTTCTCAACACATTCATTAACCTCTCACTATGTACTAGACCCTATACCAAGTGCCAGAAGTTCTGAGATTAAAAATAGAGTCATTGCTCTCCAGGAGGTGATGGTACACATAAAAAGATACTTAGAATAGAATAGTAATAGCTTTAGTGAGGTGAATAAGTACTGTGATGGAAATAAAGATATGGAAGCATGTGAAGTACACTCTAGTGACGGTAAGGAGTATGTAATTAAGAATGGCTCCACTAAGGAACTATTGCCTAAGGAAAAAGTACAACCTAGCCAAGCAGTGCAGGGGGAAGGGACCTTCTGGGCAGAGAACAATGGTATACAAAGGCACAGGGACTGTGGAAACACGTCGTGTTCAGTGAATGAACTATAAGCGGATGATCTGACTATGGGATGGCAGTAAGCAATGAGTCAGGAAAGGGCCGGATCATGCAGAGCCCCAAATGCTATGCTGAGGCATGTCTTAAATATGAAAATAACTTCTTGTACACATTCATTCCTTTGAGTATCAAAGAAAAAATAATTTTCCGAAAACACAGGAAAAGTGCTTACAGAAGAAAACTCTACCTTTTACTTCTTGATTTAGTTAAAAAGAACCAATCTTGAAGAGAGAGCAGAACTGGAAAGAAGAAGGACAAAGAACCCCCCACAGGTGGGGGGAATTGTGTCGAAGGAAAAATAAGCCATGTGTATCTGTCTTCCAATGTGTAATAGAAGAGAGGAAAATGTATTAATTTCTTTTCACGTGCCATGTGAAAGTTTTCCATAATAATCAAAGCAAGAAAACAGCTCAAGGTGCTACTTGGCATTACTTGAAGGATTTATGTTTTCTATGAGACTGAACAGTTTTCTCATCAACAGTAAATAAAGTAGCCAAGTTTGCCCGGGATTTAATTTGATGGCTTAAAACCCCCTGGGCCTTTCAGCTGAAGTCCAATCAGGAGACAGATTAAACCACACAATGATTTAAACAGAGGAATATAATATGAAGAATTATTAAGCTGTAATAGGAAAGTATAAGACATGAAGAAAACTCTAAAAGGTACCCAAGGAAGGCAGACTTGGAAGGGAGACCCGCTTCTCAAGGCTGCAGTTCATACCTCATTGAGGACGATGTGGCTGTAGCCCATTGGATGGTGGAGAAGGTCAGTGGGTCATCTGGGCCAGAGCTGATCCTCAGCCACTGGGCAAGTGGGAAACAAACCTCAGGCACGAGTCAGGGGGGCTGGTGAGAGGGGTGCTGTAGGTGAGAACTGAGCGTGCAGCATCCGTGTTAGGAGGTGGCTGCCAGCCCAGTCCCTGAGACGGCCCCCGCTGGGCATGTGGCTGGGGAAGTGAACTCCAGATGTCCGCACGATCCACACCACTGACCCAACATCGCAGGAGGAGCGGAATAAGCACAGCTCTGCACAGGACACACCCAAATCTCAGAGAGAAGCCCATCCTCCTGCCCCGTCTCTCCAGCACCCCCTGCTGGCAAAGCTTAACATTGTGCTCATTGTAAGGCAATGCTGAGTCAAGTCTGTTATCAGAGACCGGGTTACCAAGTGAGCTTGGTGCTGAGAGGCAATAGATAACTGGCACGGCATCTGACTGCTTAAAACCCTGAGCCTTTCATCTGTGTCTGGCTTATAATTGAGAACGAAATAATAAAGCAGTGCCTGACAGCCAGGAACTGATGCAGCTGTCCTCACAGCTCAGCCTCACAGTAACTGCGAGCCGCTCACAACTAAGCTGGGCTGTTCTGCAGTCTCACAAAAATATCCACTTGAAGCAAGGTCACTGTGCACCCCGCACAGTATGAAACATCCTCCTGTCTCGCTACCCCGGGAGCTGCTGCTGCGCTTCCTCACCGTACAGCTTTGTCCTGGCTGCCTCCATCTCCCTGTGCAGCAGCCCCGTGGAGACACCCAGCCGCAGAGCGGCCCAGGTCTCTGTCCAGAGCAAGTCTTCCCTCCCAAATTATCCGGGCAAAGCCCACATCCTGTGACAGGCTCTCCAAACCCTTGTACTAAGATATTCTGCACATCCCCAAGTGTGTGTTCTCCCTCTCCACACGGAATGATGAATCCGACTAGTTCAAATGCAAGTGTTCTTAGGGTTTTGAATGCAGAGCATTGACTGAATAAATGATTACTAAATATTTCTGGGCCAAATGAATCTTTTTCTCTTCCTTTTCCTTAAAAAAATTATCCTTAAATAAAGTAGTCAGAAGTTGGAGGCTGGGTAAAGGATCGTAGAAAGTATATCCCCTTAAAGTTAAGTAAGAACTGTTAGGTAGGTTTTTTTTCCCATTTAAATTTGTAAGAAATGTAATTCTTTTTTAAAACCTAGATTTTGTTTTTGTTTTTAAGAAACTAGCTGAGCTAGAAACATTAAACTTTTTTTAGGGAAGTGATTGTCTTAGAAAACTAACCTTTAACTGTGCAAAACAAACCATTATTTTTGTAATTATTTTTACAACAGTAAAACTCCATAAAAAACCAAAGTAAAACTAACAGCAGTTTTTAAAAGCTACCAAATAGAGACCAAAACAGTCAAGTTATTTTTATCATAGGCCATAGACATGGGACATACTGTACATTTTTACCAGAATCAAATCATAAAATACATACGTGAAGTGAGTATGAAGTTATGTTTCTCTTTCTTTGTATTGCCATGAGGTCTGCTCGCCTCAAACTTCAGGAGTGACCCGTGGAACAGATCTTCCTGGAAGGGGCTACACTGCCCTTTCTTTCCCTCGTCTCTTCTCAGAAGCTTGGAGCCTCCAGAGGGTCCTTTCCTACTCTGAAGGGGGTGGGAAACCTCTTTATATTTCACCATTAAAATCTCTTCCTTTTTAACAGAAAGGATCAAAAAAAATGTCGAAGTGTGATATTTGTTTCTAAACCACAGTTCTGACCCCTATAATGTCTGCTTATGCAAGGTTAGAATGAGTCACTTGGTAAAAATCGTGTAATAAAGAGTATCTATGGCTTAGGAACTGGGTATTTGAGTCTTCTTTATAATGTTCCTGAGCCATGTACATAATTAACTAAATGTATGAATATCCAGGAAGTGTAATTTTTTGAGTGAATAGTTATCATGTCTGAGTCATTACCATTTTTTCCTAAAAAATTATTCGTTCTTTACTCATGTGTGCAAAATCTAATTGTATCTATTAAGTTGTGGATATCCAGCAAAATTATGTAGTCTTATCCCACTAATTCATTTATTTATTCAAAACTATTTTTGAGCATCTCCCATATGCCAGATACTGTGCCAAGTGTTTAGGTTACAAAAATAAAAAGACTCCAGTCCTTGGTTGAAATGGACGGCCACAGAGGCAGAGAAAGAAAAATGCCAAATGATCTCACTTACTTGTGGAGTATAAAAATAAAGCAAAACAGAAGGAACAAAATAACAGCGGACTCATAGACACTGAGAAGGGACTAGTGGTTACCGAGGGGAAGGAGTTGGGGTGCGTGAGGGGGATAAAGGGATCCAATAATTCACGATCGCAGTGTAGGCTGGTCACAGGGATGGTAGTACAGCACAGAGAATACAGTTAATGATTTTGTAACATACTGTGTTGGTAGACAGTGACCGCACTGGAGTGTGTGAGGACGTAATAGTATGAGTAACTGTTGAACCAGTGGTGTATAGTTGAAACCAACGTAAGATTGTATATCAATGATACTTTAATTTTAAAAAAAAGAAAGAAATGGGTGGTCGCGGAAGAGAATATTAAGGACATTTCCCTGGATTTCATCTTTTTACAGGTGCTTAACTGCATGTCTTCCTCCCCCGTTTTTGTGTGTTTCATTAGGACTGTTTCAGTACAAGGAGAAAAGTGTAATATTTGGTAGCATTGGTACATTTGGTCAGTAAATTGGTCAGCGGTGGTTATGACTCGGCCCTGTGCTTTGTGGGCAAAATGAGATAGAATAGATCCCACTGTGCCCTCGGGGAGCCCGTGGTGCTGAGAACGCCCACGGGGCACATTGCAGAGAAGCAGTCGTGCCAGCGACAGCACGGTTTCTGACCCTGAAAGCCGCCCATCCCGCCCAGCTCAGGCACCTGCCTCAGCACTAGCTGGGGGGCAGGTAGCTGACTGCTCTCCTCCGACCGCCCCACCACAGAGCACCAGCTGTCTCAGCCCAGCTGTCGGGGGTCCTCCACTCGTGTGTGTGTCCCGTGTCTCCACCTCAGGTAACTGGGTCAGCTCTGTGTTCATACGGCCGCCCTGCACCCCTCAGGCCACCCAGGACTGGCGTTTTACAAGGACTCCTGCAAACAGGTTTTCACCTAAGATTTAGGTCGTAATGAATCAAATAAGGAAAATTTTGAGTGTACTTGGGCAATGGGTAGCTGGTTAGTTACCAAAATCCCACTGTAAACTATTAAAAGTAGTCATTTACAAATTGTAAAATGATGCAAGAGAAAACTTTTTAAGTGGATAACATCCCGTTTATGCTTGGGCAGGGTTCTTTGAGTTGACATGAACCGAATAGCATCTGATCATTTTCCTTAACCTTTTGAAAAAGACTCCCCCAAAGCCTCACACCCCCCGATTTTACTGTATTTGTGCACAGTAAATTCTGTGAGAGCATAAAAGTATAAGTTCATAATAACCATTCTCTTCAGTTTAAATATCCCCCAAAATTTGGAAAATCAAAGCTTTTGTAACTCATTGGGAAAACCAGACCTGAACCACAGTGACCCTACTTAAACACTTCGGTTATCCACCCTGCTGGAACACTCGGATGGTCTGCTGCGGAACTATTAAAGTGCTCAACTACAAGATTCTGCCCTAGGTATTTTATGCATGTGGTATATGTACAATATTACCTTTCTAAGTTTAAAAAGTCTGAATTCTGAGACACCAAGAGTTCTGCCTCCAAGAGTTCAAACAGGGATCGTAGACTGTGTATGTATAAAGCATGCACTCCATCGGCTTAAGAGAGTATTTTATTTGTTAACTGTGGTGGTGGATGTTAACTAAACTTGCCATGGTGATCGTTTCACAGTATATGCATTGGTCAGATCATTGTGTTGTACACCTAAAACTAAGACAATGTAATATGTCAGTTACAGCTCAATAAAACTAGGGGAGAGGAGGACACTCTAATATTGTAAAGTTTTTAGTTTTGATAAATTAGTTCATGGAAGCAGTTCCAAAATAACCAGCCTTTAATTTTCTGGGAACTTTCACTTTGTCTCTAGATTTGATAGATCTGTAGTTAGGGGTTAAATATAGAAAGTATGACTCTGAATGCATATATCTGTTTGATTTCTTATAACCACAGAAGGACGGCCCAAATAAATTATAATCAGGATAACTGTAGGCTGTAGCCATGATCATGTATGCCAGAAAAAAAAGAGCCTCTGAATTGGGGAGTGTATCCATCTTCATGTACACAAAAAGTGATAACAGCAATATTCTTGTACATTTTCAACAGGAGACATGCCAAAAGCAATTTTGTTCATTGTTGTTCCCTCCACATTTTAAGGGAATGTAAACTCACGTACCAGTGATTTCAGAAGCACGTGATAATGTTTCCCACCTATTCAAACCCCCTTAATACCATTCAAGTGAGACCATTTGACTCTTCAGTTGTGGTGGGATAGAACTTAAATTGTGGTGGGATATTTTCTGCATGATCATAAATATTTCATTTATTAGCACAAGATTTTTTTCCTGGAAATTGGTTATTTTCAAGCTCACTGCAGTGCTTTATGTTTTTACTTGGAATCTTCCCCTCCCTTTCCCCTTGTTCTGTGCAGATTATCAGCGCTTGATGACGGTGGCGGAAGGCATCACCACACTTTTGTTCCCATTTCAGTGGCAGCACGTTTACGTGCCCATCCTCCCTGCTTCTCTGCTACATTTTCTTGATGCTCCTGTCCCTTATCTGATGGGCCTTCAATCAAAAGAAGGAACTGACCGTTCTAAACTAGAACTTCCTCAAGAGGTAAAACTTTCAATGAATGATGAAGCATTTGCTGATGTTGATTTGGATGAAGGCTACTTTTGTTAGAAGCATTGTCTTTCTCCAAACTGTGTCTCTGATTGTCCAGAATTTTCCAAGTACGTCTCGGGTGGGGTGTGAACCATAGAGTGCAAATCCTGACTCCTGATGGTTACCGTGACCCAGAAATTAATTAAACATAGTTCAAAAGAGGACAATGGCAAATTTTCACAACTGTACATTTGTGAAGATGGAGCCATGGTAGCATTATCTAGTCACTTTGTTATTCTAATGACATTTCACTTCTTTCCCCCCTATTCCTGCTATGCATTTTTGTTTTAAATGACACAGGTCAGGTTTTAAGTGTTGATTTTTAAGATCATTGTATTAATTGAGGTGAATTTGCTTCTTGGCTTCCATCAAATGAAAATGAACATCTTTCAGCAAGTTAGGGATAATGGAAACACTAAATACTTTTGTATTCTTTGTTTTCAGACCTAAGGCTAGTTATCAGCATTTCTAAATGTCATCAACTTGGCTAAGAGGTTGAGACAAAAATTCTAACTCAGCTTTTAGGCCACTTTATGGTTACTGCTTTCTGTGTATGTTCAAATTTTCAAATGCTGTTTAAGAAGAAAATAAACAGGAAATCTTGAAAGTATTTTCTGTCTAATTTTTAGCTGTTAATGGTACTGAGAATTGGAATGTGAAACCTTTAAAATGAAATATTGATGAGAGCGCCATGGCTATTTAAAACAATGGTTAGTTACATTATATTGTTATCTATTTAATTAGCACCTTTCTTAATGTCTTTCATGCTGTGCATCACTTTTATTTGCTCTTGTTTCCCATAGAGATTCTCATTTTAATAAGTGAATATAAAATAACACAGTAAGCCACAGCCATTATACTCAGGAAAGATTCCTGTAATCATCCATTGCTTACTTTCCTCTAATGAATGTTTCCCTGTCAAAATTAACATTTTTGTTCAGGGGAAAAATGGCTTAACTCAGATGATATAAAACACATATCCAGACTATCTTGCTGTTTTTGAACTTGTTCATTTTCTCTGCTTTGGCCTCTCTATTTTCTTTATTTATACCTCTTTTCTTTATTACCTGAGTTCTCTTGTTTTCTCCTTTATTGAATTGATCTCAGTATCTTGTTGATTCAAATAAGGAATTCCTTTAAACTTTCTAGGAAAAAGAAATAGGATAGCCAGCTGTATTTTGTTTTAAAGATCTTAAAAGTGACATGTTTTAGTTTTTTGTTGAGTTTCTTGTCTATTTGCCTATTAACCAGACGATGTTTTATATGCCCATTTGTTTGGAAATACAGTATTATCTTCCTGTTTTTGCAGGAGTAATGATTGTTGAGAATTTAAAAATGCTGCCTTGATGTATTTGTAGTCAAGAAGTCATTCTGTCTCTGCATTTATTCACTGACCCTAAAAGCTCTTGCAATAGTGTCTGTCATTTTCTAATTTTTCATTCATTAAATCAACACTATTTAATAAATATACATATCCGTCTATTCACAGAGTAGCGTAACATGAAATAACCTGAATTAGCTAGGAAAAAAGCAATGCTTCTGTATAGTAAGTGTAAATTCATACATCATTGTTTAGAAGAAAAGCCTAGCGGTGTATCACTTTGCTCTGAAAACATTTGACAATGAGATGAAATAGAAATAATCTATTTCACATAATTTTGGGGAGGAAGTAGACATAAAAATAGCCAGTTAAAAAAGTATCATAAATACATTAACTAGTAATACTGCCCCTTCCCTCCTTTCCCTGAAAAACTGTACAGTAAAATAATAACTAAAAACAGTGACAGGGCTTCTTAGCATAGTTGTGAAAATGATAACTTTACAAGATGATTATTTTAAGAAGGTTAAGATTTTAGTTGTTAGCTAACTAACGTAACTACATAGAGTTATAATTAACTGCCCACTCACTTTTCCCATGGCTCCAAAATGTTGGGCGCCAGTAGCCATTTGTTTTATCTTTTGGGGGTGGGGGGAACGATGGTGGAAGGTTACGGCGCTGAGGATTAATTGCATAGCATGGCACCTCACTTCCTACCATCTTGCTCCTCTTTACAGTAAATGGTAGACAACAAATCAAGAGGAAAACTGAGGTTTATGGGAATGTTTTAAATGTTGTCCTCTGATTTGTCCTCATGCCAGCTTAACTTCAGCCACTGAGAAACCAGATCTCTTACAAAACAGGGGGAGAGCTGCCCAAGCCTCAGGGTCGGGCATGCTTCCCCCTCCTGCGTACCTTTTTGGGGTTCCACAAAGTACCCAGATCCTTGAGTCTCATTCATTCATTCACCAGTTGTCTCGTACAGCACTGCTGTAGGAGACGTTAGGAGACATTGAGATAAATAAGAGGTGATTTCTGCCTTCCAAAATAAGGTATTTACAAATATCAATAATACAGGTTGAAAGAAAGTCAGGTAGTAAAGAGGAATGAACCAGCTAAGCATGTGTGCAGAGGAAATCAGAATGCCTTTAGGGTGGGGACACAGGAAGGCTTCACAGCAGAAGAGAGAAATAAGCTCCAAGTCTTTGTTCCCTTACTTTTCAGGGAATGTGTGTTATTTTTAACTGGAAGTAATCACTTATCCTGAACTTGTGAGCAGTGTCGATCAGTAAAAGTTTAGAAATAGTTAGGCCTAAAGTAACGGAAGACTAAGATGTCCAGTATATTGTTCATGCTCTAAACTCCTTGAGCTCTTCTGATAGAATTTTTTTTAATTTAATGATATTAAAAGTGAAAAAGTTACTTATCAGAATGCCCTGTTGTATGGAGTTCTTATTTGTTTTAGAAAAAGGGCTTTTTGGTTTTGCTTCAATGAGTTTTTATAATACAAGTTCACAATCCTATTTTTACTTTGTGAAAAAAATCAAAGCCCCAGCTTGGACCTCCTCCGCATACCCAGGAGTGTGGGCCAGACTCGTGGAGACGTGAGGACAGGCGGGTTGGTGGCTGCGGCGCTGGGACACCCACCCTGGCCCCCGTACACTCCCTACTGAACAGTGATCGCATGAGCATGACACGCTGTGAAATTTCCCCAAATGTGTCATTTCATCTTTTCATAGGAGAGGGATAGAAAAGAATAGCAGGGAGGCATCAATGAAGGAGACAGTACAGAATGTAAGTGATAGGAGGTGGCTGGTTAACACTCCGATTAGCAAGTCAGTGAGGGTTTTTTCTTCTGTTTTTAAAGAGACTGAATCATCCGTTTGAGTTACAGTGACCTACTTTCTCCCATTAAGCCTTTCCTTGCATCCTGCTTTCTAGAGGCCGCAGGAACGTATGTACAGACGTGGATTTAAAGCAGCTGCGGGCAGCACTGCTGTCTGCAGCAAGGCGGGGCTTGGAGCTCTTACTTTATCTAGAGGAAACTGCTGATGTTGGAGATGAGAGTTGGAGGACAAATCCCCCAAAGCCAGCAGACTGTTTGAAGGTGCTTACCTGGAACAGGTGTCAGGAAGTCACCTAACATCTGGGGCCTCAGTTTCCCCAACTGCCAGATTAAAGGATTGGATTCAAGGTTACTTCAGGCTTGAGGAGTCATCGCTGATTCTCTGGTTTGGGGCTGGGGAAAACCTTGAATTTTCATTGAGCTTAGTTCAGAACTTGGCTGTTTTTGCTCATCAGCATCTAAGGTGAAAAGTAGGGATCCAAAGAGAAAAACAAAGCCCCGGCGGTTTGCTCTCCTCCGTTTGCCTTACTTGCCCTTCAGGACCGTAGGCCCAGACAATTCAAAGCCTGCCGACAGGGGCAGGGCCGTCTGGGACACAGAGAGACCGAGGCGAAGATCCCTGTTCGTTTGTTGACTTCCGCCCGGTGAACATTAGCATTCAGCCGCTAGCGCAGCCCTGGCTGCAGTTTCCTGCGAGGGGCTGTGCCTCCGCACCCCACCGCCCACCCGCAGTCTGTAAGCATCGTCTTCCTTCACACTGACCACCTTGTTCTGATAAGAGGGTCTGAACAGTAAAGGTGAGGGGCTGTTTTGGGTCTACAATAATCAAGCACCTGAGGGATAATCAACATTTTTTGCAAGTACTTGGACCCTTAAATTACCCATATCTATTGAAAAATATTTAAAAGTCTTTATATTCAATATCAATTCAAAATCTAGAGTGTAAGCAAACTCAAAAAAGCAAAAACGTTTCCTCTGATTTCTGTCTCCTCTTGTCCCAAACCCAAAAATATCTCCCGAATCAACTCTTAATTATTCAAGGGTTCATCATTCGTGGTTCTCAAAGTACGCGTCTCCCCGACTTCTCTCTGCCTCCTGCTGTTTGTCTAATGACTTCTGAAGTGGTTTCACTGTCCAGGAGGTGGAAGTTAATTTTGGATAAAGTGAAAATGTGTGGATATTCTGCACATTGGATTGCTCTTTGCCAATTTTTCCTGTTTGGCGCGGGACTACAGCTGCTAAATTTTAGCAATTATTGTTAATTCTGAATTACAGAGAGCGTTAGAGAACAGCATGATGGCATAGGATGTTCAGGTTCATTCAGTGAGCATCGTACCCAGTGGCCATTTGTTGGGGGCTAGAGTTTGTGCCCTTTTCTTGTTTAAGAATGCCTACTGGATGCTGTATATTGCAGAACCGTGTCCGGATTATCCTAAGTTGCTAAGACCCAGACAAAATTACTCATATATATTAAATATGGTATAAAATGCTCACTGAAGAGAAAGTGCCAGAAAAAGAAATTTAAAAAATCAAAATGTCTTAATCTTGAAAAAGGTAACATAAAAGGGCACTGTAAGACCTTAAAAGCTCTCATTGCAAGAAAAAACATTTGTAACTGTGTGGTGAAGGATGTTGACTAGACTCACTGAGGTAATCATCTCACCCTACGTCCACATGGAGGATTATGTTGTACACCTGAAGCAAGTATAATGTATGTCAGTTACAGCTCAGTCAAAAAAAAGGCAGTGGAGGAGAACACAGCCGATGAATATCTGTGACATCTTCCTGTGTTTACAGATAGTAACTGCACTAGTGGGGGTGAGGGTTTAATAATATGGGGAGCTGTTGAACCACTGTGTTGTGTATTTGAAACCAACATAAGATTGTCTAGCAATAATACTTTAATTTTAAAAAAAGGCAGTGTCCTCTATGATGTTTTTGGTAATAATCAGCAAGAATATTTTAGAAAATCAAATTCCTTTATTTTAAGACCTTCGTATTTCTCTTTTCTCTTGCAGGCGAATTTGTGTTTTGTGGATATTGACAACCATTTTATTGAGTTGCCTGAGGAATTTCCCCAGTTTCCCAATAAAGTGGATTTTATCCAGGAACTCTCTGAGGTGCTGCTTCAGTTTGGGCTCCCACCAGAGGGCCGCAGCGAGAGCGCCACCAGGCTGAAGAATCTGGTTCTGAAAGACTTGGTCAACGACAAGAAGAACGGCAACGTCCTCAGCGGTAACATCGGCGTGTGTGACTTCCTGAAGGGCAACGAAACCATCGCCCGCCTCCAGGCGCTGGCCCAGCGGACCGGGGTGGCCGTGGACAAAATGGACCTGTCCTCCTCTCTGGGTGGAAAACAGAAGGATCTGAAACTCCAGTGCGAAGAGGCAGAGCTCAAGGACTACCAGCTCAACGTGCAGCTCCGAGAGGTCTTCGCCAACCGCTTCACACAGATGTTTGCCGACTATGAAGCATTTGTGATTCAGACAGCGCAGGACATGGAGTCCTGGCTCACCAGCCGGGAGCAGATGCAGAACTTTGACAAAGTAAAAAGCACCACACTTTCCCTTTCCATGGTTCTTAGTGGGCTGTGGTACTGGTTTTGTTGATTCTTTTTAAACACAGATTTTTCCTCTCTCCCGTCTCATTCAGAACTTTTCTTGACCAGTACTTCATCCTAGATAAAATAGTTGCACGGGAAAGCATGTCAAGTAGCAACGTAAGCTGGACATTGAATTGTAACTTAAACTGCCTTTAATCTCATTTGAAAATGTCCTGTACTTTGAAGATGCCCGAATTATAGAAACTCTCAAGTTTCACAGGTTTTTAAAACCTGTGAACACTCTCTGACCTTGTTGAAGTTCTATTTACTCTTGTTTTAGGATCAAGTCCAGTTCAGTGAGGCCCATTCCTTTTCTAGCAAGTCCTTACGCTTCTTTTGTGTCTTCATCCTATAATGATGTCACAACTTGTCCATGTACTGTAGTTTCAGAAGGCAAATTTTTGTCTCATTTTAGTATCAAAAGAGAGGGAAAATGAATTAAAAGTAGGCCTTATGATAATAAGTCTAAGGCTCTGTTTCGATGTTTTTGGAAAAGGAAGACAGAATGACACCGGTTTTTGACTGTCCTGCTGAAGGTGAAGCTCCTTTCTGAGGTTTACTATAGAGTATTCTTACACCAGATTTTCTTGCCGTATCTACCAGATTTTTTTAAATTCCGGACAGAAGCACTGTGGCGTGTGTACTGCCTCTTCCACGTCGCTGGGGTGCAGTTTAGTCCCCTGCCTTCTGTGGTGGCAAGACACGAATCTGCTGTTAGAGTGAATTATGGCTTCTTGCTTAAATGGTCTCTGTGTCGTGGAAGGCCTCTCAAAGATGCTAATACATTCCAAGAAGCTAATCTGCAATCTTGGAGTATCTGACAAATACGTCTTAATAAAAAATGTTTGTGAAGGTGGGCAGTATAAAAGATTATATTCCAATTTCACCAGATATTTTTTCAGGTAGAGTATATAAATGATGCTGAAGAGCTAAGTTCTGATGCACTTTATGTTTGAGAAAACTTCTTTAATGAATTAAGAAGCTTTCATTTCTCCAAATGTATTCCTGCTCTTGGATTCCTTTCTCATTAAACTTAACCATTTTTTCACATTTTTTCCTATCCAGCTGAGACCTAATCTGGATACACTTACGACTTATCCTTGGGGCAATTCAAATTCTTATCTAAACTGAGCACTAGTACTTTCTTCCTTCTCAATCTTTATATAGCTTCAAACTATAAATGGGATTCTTTTTCTACAACCCCTAGAGAAATGAAAGTTTCATGTTGGGTTCTAGTAGGCTCTCGTTTGTCACTGGGGAAGTTTACACATAATCACATAATCACATAAGCACAAATCGCATACCAGTCCTGCAAGCCAGCTCTTTGCTGACTTCAGTGTCGTAGCCCATGAGGACTTGAATATCAAAAGCCAGATATCTGGCCCATTCAGGAAAAAATAGACTATTCACTCTATAAAAAGTAAAAATCGGTATTTATCTGTAAAAATATCTTTGGAAGAGGTGAATTGATTTCTAGACATTGCTGTGAACTTTTGTCTGGCTCTTTGGATTTATGTAAATAAGGTGGAGACCCTTAAATTGAGTAAGTGGGTTTCTGTACAGTTTTCAAAAGGCTTCCTAGATTTCAGAAGGAAAAATAAATATGCTAGGAAGAAACTGATGAGTATTAAGGAGAGAACCTCACGTCAGAACTTCGGTGTTTCCCCTCTGATTTCTGCCACGCTGCACCTACTCAAAAGATGAATAGCTGAGATAGGAATTAATTCACTTCCAGATTTCAGCTAATACCAACTGCAGCTAGAATTCCCAGACACATGGGGGCCCCAAGAGCCCTAGAAAAAAAGTGAGCACTTTGACTTCGGAACTGGTGCCAGCTTACTGAGCCATTCTGTGCAGCAGACTGGTGACAGACGTGGGGCGGGTGGCGCACGCTTCCCAAAGGCTTGGCTCGCACTGGGTGGTTTTTCATTGTGAAGGCCCAGGCTGTTCTGTCAGCACAGGTCTGAAAGGAGACTGACCGTGAATTTCTCATCCCTCAGTCTCTTAACAGTGCTTGGGTCTAGAAAAACATCCACCTGAAGTAGAGTAAAAAGATTTCACCCATAAGCACAAATCCCATGTTGTTTTCTTTTAAGGTTATTACTTATGTATATGTCATTATTGCATCAGTTAATCACCCCAGTGCCTTATGATTTGGGGGCATATTGCATAGGCTAGAAATAAAGAGCAGAAAAAATGACCACTCTCCGGGGAAAGGGGTTAGATTGAATGGTAAGTGAGGAGGAGGATTGGCGATCATGTAGCAACGGATCCACCATCTTTCATTAATGATGCCTCTCTGTTACGTAATGGTCACGAGGAGCAGAATGGAAGTCAGTTCTGAACACTGGGATCCGTGCTAAAGACCTAAGCAATCTAAATTCCATGAACTTAAGAAGAAAATAAGGAAAAGTAGATGTTCAATTACTTTAATTTCAAACATCAGTGTTCTATGTCTTAAGATTAAAAAAGAATGACCTTAGCAACAGATGATTTTCAGATTTATCATGTGGCATTGCAATGGTCTCTTTGCATGAGTAACTTCCTGATGGTCTCATTACAGGCTTCCTTTCTGTCCGACCAGCCTGAGCCTTACCTGCCGTTTCTCTCACGCTTCATTGAAACACAGATGTTTGCCACCTTTATCGATAATAAAATCATGTCTCAGTGGGAAGAGAAAGATCCTTTGCTTCGGGTCTTTGACTTCCGGATCGAGAAGATCCGACTGTATAATGTAAGGGCACCCACCTTGAGGACATCTATCTATCAGAAATGCAGCACCTTAAAAGAAGCAGGTATATTTGTCATGCCTTTTAAAATTTACTTAAAATCCATGATCATTTCTTTTTCCACATTGTTGGCTTTATAAACCACAAAATTAATTTTCAACTTTTGACTTCACGGTTAATCCCTGTACTGTATCACAAGGTGCTCTGTATGGTCTTGTTTCCTTCTGTTTCTTTGAATTAATGTCTGTCCCGTTCCTTCTTAACATTCCTTTTCCCGTTGAAGAGGGAAAACAATAGCAACACAATGGGGAATAACTATAAGGTTGCTGTGATTTTTGTCTCATTCTCTTTGTTGCCTTAATGGAAAAAATGTCCATTTCTATTTTGCTGCTTATGTTTCCCCTTGTCACCTTATTTCCCTTCATCTAAGGGAAGATAAGTATTAATTTAAAACAGTAAATCTGAGATGCTGCCTATTCTGCATAACAGTATATTATTTTAGTGGTGCCATTAATAATAATAGCTTTATTTATTGAAATTAAATCTCTGGACTCTTGCATTCAAATTAGAGGTTCCCCAGTCCTGACACCAGTTTGTCCCTCAGAGACTTATGAGTCTTGGCCAGTCTTGTCTGGCAGTGTAATGTAGCCCATTAAATAAATAATTGTATTAATAGTCAGTGTTTACTGAGTACTTCCTGTATGCTGGCTATTACACCAGGTGTTTACATGCATCTTTGCATTCAGCGTTAAAAATGAGGGGGCACAGGCACATTTCCTTTTGTTTGTTACTAACCTCATTTTACAGTTGAGAAAACTGAGAAGTTAAATAACTTGCTTATTTATGATTGCTTAGCTAGTGATTGCTGGAGCCGTGGCTGGAACCCAGGTTGGCTGGTGCTAGCTCCTGAAGCCTTGCTACCACGTCAGCTGTTCATTCAGTAAAAAATCATGTCACAATGCCCCAATCCACACAGGTTTATACATGATACCTGGTTCCTAACTCTTTCTTTGTCAAATAAACTGATGGCTCTTACCTGAGTGCCCCTCCCTGTTTACTTCTTTCCCTTCAAATGTAGAAGCTGTTTGAGAGCCATTTTTCCCCTGGAGCAAGAAGAGGCGGCAGGTGTGGAGTGTCTTGGCTCGTCTCTGTTGCTTGCCATCGCTTTGTTTAAATAGATGGAAGTCACGGGAGTAGCGCAGCCATAGTCGTAGCCTGTCTAAGGAAAGAAGCGTGTAAATAATGTCCTCAGCGAGTCTGAGCCCCCTGTTCCTCATCCTGTTGTGTCAGGTTAGAGCCCTGGAACCCCTTCAGGAAGTGCAGTTACCTGTGTTTCTGGAACTTGAGGGAGCAGACGAAAGAAACTGTCCATGCTTGTTCAGAGGGTACTCTGACTGTCAATGCTTTAATAGCCACGTAAAAATAATAGTATCGTGCCTTGTTGAACAAATTTCATTCCTCCCTTCCTGACAGAATTTGTTAAATGTAGATAAGCACTGATTCCTCTATTAATGTTCTTCTAGATCTTTCCAATCAAAATAGATTTTTCTGTCAGCCTCTCAAAAGAGTTTGATACTCCCACTCTTACTGCAGAAATTATATCACACTCCTGAAAATGTGCCGTTATAGATTTAACATATATGAAAATGAGATTAGGCCAAAGCAATAGTCTCCCAGGAACAGCATTCATCAAAGACTTTTTTTAAAAAGTGGAAGGAGGCAGCTGGCTGTGCCCATCTCCCTTATAAATGGTGCAGGTACTGCATTTATCAGGTGGAATTGCCATCCCCTCACCCACACCCAAAGCTGAAGCGACTGGGCTTTGGCTGGCGACACTGGGTTTTTCTTGTGTATAGTTTTTTGTCCTTTGTTTTGTGTTTGGTTTTGTTTTGCCTCCAACTAAAAAGAGTTTTGATTTGCAGGTGAACTCTTTAGTCAGAGGCAAGCGGCTCTTGATATTGTGGCACCAGAACCTCATGATTTCTCTTCAGAAAGGCAACTCGTTGATAGTAACGCAGAGTCTTGTTTTTCCTTACCAATCACAGAAAATGAGTATCGGCACAAACCCTTGAAAGTCTAACAACGGGCCCATGACCCCTCAAAGCAGGCATTTAATGATCTCTGAATGTTCAGTATTCACGGGTTGCATGATCACTGAAGGTAACATTGCATTATCCGAGGGCAACCCTAATAGAAATACCGGAGTCTTTCATTGTGAATCTTGATTTTTGTTTTTAAAAAGCTTCCTAAACTAAAGGAAAATAACTCAATATCACATGGATTTCTCTATCATTTTAAATCCAGTGGAAAAGCTGAAGCTACTTTCCCTTTTTATCCTTTTGTGAGGACAGAAGCGCTGATTGGCAGAGATAGAATTTTGTAGTATTTCCTGGAACATAAAATTGGCCTGAACTTCAGAGAATTCTGTGCTGGGAATCTAAGCATTGTTTTGCCTAAACCCTCGACTCATTAAGTGTTTATAAATACAGGAAGCACTGAGAGTATGGACAGGGTTTTGGAGAGCCAGGGGGCATCATTGAAAATTAAATACCACTTCACATTAAGACATGGCATCCTTCTGCCCAGCAGAGAACATATGGACTGTGTTTCAAGAGAAGTTCCATGTTAAAAATAAAATGAAATTCAACAAAGTTTTGGATAGATTCATATGAGTTATGAACAAAAATAAGGGAAGTTTAAAGCAGATGTCTAACATTTAGAAGTTTAAATCACAGAGGGTAACGGGGACTTCTGCGGAGTCCCCCTCAATGCTGTCGCCCAGCACAACAACTGGCCTGGGTGAAGCCCTGATCTCACGTGGGATGGCATTAAGCATGTGCTTTGGACAAGCACGGAATGTGTCATGAACACCCCTCCCCACCCAAGAAGGACATTTTTTTAGAATATGTGTGGGGAATGGCCAGCAGTCCCCAGACTGCTGGTTCTGAACAGGGCAAAATAAACTGTCCTGTGAAGAATTTATAAGAACACGTTTTTACTTCTCTTAAATCCCAAGATCAGCAGCTCGCCACAGTGTGTTCTGTGTTACCGCCCAACCACACTTACTGCCCCCTCTCCCCTTTGGTAATCTCTGGGCCAAAGATTGGAGAGCTGGTCTTGCTTCATAGATATTACATTTTTCTCTTGGAAGTGCAGTTGATAAAAACACTTAAGATCAGATTTTTTTTACCAGAGAAACAGTTCATTGTTTCTTTGAGATATCCTCCTAGCTTGAAGTGGTTTTAAAATAGAAACATTGAGTAATTCCTCTCATTTACCTTTGGCCTATTTTATTCTTCTGAAGGCCAGTTTCTTATGCTCTGAACATTTTCTAAATGCCTGCTTACTTAATTTTTCTCTGCATTACCACTCCTGATCTAATAAACACTCCTAAGTGACTCCTACTAATGAGAATGTGATAATCGCTAAAAGTGAGGTAATAAACTTTACACCATTCCTTGTTTTTACAAATGTGGAACCATGAATATTTAATGGGTCTCTGCACAAAGAAGTGAAGTAACATAAGGCCACTGTGTGCTTGCTTTTACTTGTTTTTCGGCTCAAGGAAAAATCTTTTCTTTGCTATCACTTTCTTTAATATTGTACTTAGATCCATATTTTCATTAAGGATATTGAATTTCTCAATTAGAGGAAACTGTTACCCTACTAAACTATAGATTTTCCAACCCTGCTACCCTGTTTTTGACAAAGGCAGAAAATACCATGAAAATTAATCATCTAGTACTTCCTTAAAATTAACCTTTTGATAGTTACATTATGCTGATTACTGAAAAGCTTTTGTAAAAATGTATTTTGGAATGTCAGAAAGGCTGAGCTCCCTGTCAGTGCATGAGCAGAGGAAGTGCTACTTTTAAGGCCCTGCCAAGGAAATGTCTCTAATTTGGTATAAATTTAATTTACAGCCCAATCAATTGAGCAGCGACTGATGAAAATGGATCACACTGCCATCCACCCTCACCTACTCGATATGAAAATTGGTCAAGGCAAATACGAGCAAGGGTTCTTCCCAAAGTTACAGTCTGACGTCTTGGCCACAGGACCAGCTAACACCAAGTAAGCGTGTTCTTCACTCAAGTAGCGGGCCGAAGGGAGGAATGGCGGCTGCAGTGCCCTGCCCCTCCAGTGGGTCCGGGCCGAGCCGTTAGGCATCTGCCAATCTGGTTGCCCTTTTCAGAGACAGAGTGCATTTGAAATATGGATTGACATTCTATGAGTAGTTGACTTTTAATTCTGTCATGTAAAAAAAATCCAAAGACTCAGTATTTTTTTCTTCCTTAAGTGATGTGCAGTTGGGAAAGTGTCACCTTCAGTGGCTGTATCTAAATGTCAGGCTCGTACTGTCCGCTGGAATTAGGAAGTTAAACTCCACTTTCTGTCTTAGTTCCTAGGACTGCTGTAATAAACTACTACAGCCTTGGTGGCTTAGGGCCACAGAAATTTATTCTTTCATAGCTGGAAGTTCAAAATCGAGGAATGGACAGGGTAGGGTGTGTTCCCTCCGAGGCCTCTAAGCAAGGATATTTTTCCCCTCTCCAGCTTCCGGTGGCCCCAGGCAGTCCTTGGCTTGCAGCCATGTGACTGCAGCCTCTGCATCCCTCTTCATGGGGCTGTCATCTCTCTATGTGCAGTTCCAAATCTCTCTCTTCTTATGAGGACACTAGGCATGTGGATTAGGGCCCACCTTAATGACCCTGTCTTACCTGGATTACCACTGCAAAGACCCTATTTCCAAATAAAGCCACGTTCACAGGTATATTGGGGTTAAGACTGACTTTAACATATCATTTGGGGGGACGCAATTCAGCCCATGATACCATCTTCGTACTTTCTAAGTATCAAGTACAAAAATTGCAAAATAACCAAAAATAAAGGTAAACCCATAATTCTATATGGTAGATGATCTATTCAGAAAATATCTGAATATGGTTAGAGTGGAGAACAGTTATTTGGGATTTTAGGTGAATACAAGTGTTTTATTAACAATTGAGTACTAAAGAAAGGTTTTATAACAATGTCTGAGCAAATGGTTGATCAACCGTTAGAGGGAATTTCATATGCTGCTTACAAAGAAAGCAAAAGCAAATAAGCAGTCTTCAGTATTTCAGCAAATGTGATCATCTTTGGTAAAATTATGCTTAGTAGCTGAGGTTTAATAATGCAAGGAACAAACTAATAAGACCAGGAATTTTCTTAACAAGACCCATTTCTCTGTTCTAAAATAAAATTAATAAAGCATTTTGTCGCACAGAGTATATAGTGACCTACTCGTTATGTCAGGCAAGTTAATGTTTATCCTTTTCTTTTCCTAAAGCCTTTTCCACTATTGCCTGCCAAGGAAATGTTTGCCATTTATATTCCAGTCCTTCCTTTTATTTATTATATAAGGTCATTAGCTGGTGTTTATAGTATTCAGTTTCCTATTTGTACTACTTATGTGAACCACTCTTACCAGTAACCCTTATTTTTTATTTATATTTTTTGTAAACATTTTATGAAAAATTTAAAGATGTACCTTTGGACACTCTTAGGGAGTTACTTTGTAACAAGAATCATTCATATTCTTGTTGCAAACTATTTAATATATTTGATTTTTTATTGAATTTATTTTATTTATTTGTTTTGATATCATTAATGTATAATTACTTGAACAACATTATGGTTACTAGACTCCCCCTGTTATCAAGTCCCCCCCACATACTCCATTACAGTCACTGTGCATCAGCGTAGTAAGATGCTATAGAATCACTGCTTGTCTTCTCTGTATATACTGCCTTTCCCGTGTCCCCCCTCTGCTACATTATGTGTGCTAATTGTAATGCCCCCTTTTCCCACTTGTCCCTCCCTTCCCACCCATCCTCCCCAGTCCCTTTTCCTTTGGTAACTATTAGTCCATTCTTGGGTTCTGTGAGTCTGCTGCTGTTTTGTTCCTTCAGTGTTTTCTTTGTTCTTA